AAATATAATTAAATTACTCATAAAACTCGAAGAACTTTAGCAATGAAAAAATGTTTATTTGAATATCTTAATGATATTTTCGAGAGAGAAAAACATATTTTATTTATACAAATTATTCAAGTAAAAATATCGAAGTATTCTTCTTGCCAATATATCATATATACCCTCACATGTGCCATCACTAAGCCAAGTGCATTGTTTGCCGGCTTGCAAGTGTCTGTGCCTGTGTGTGTGTGTGTGTGGGCTTGTGTGTGTGACATGTTAACGACGGCGCTCAAATGACTTTTGTGCGGTTTAAAACCAAACACAGTGCCAGAACCCTAACCCCATCGCTGGACTGCGGAGCTGGCTGGACCCCTTTCCCTTCCCCTTCCCCTTCCCCTTAACCCTTGGCAGCCCCCTCTGGTGAGCCATCATCATCGTCATTGCCATGGCCTCGCTCTTTTGCCTTGTTCGCTGGCAGCATTTTTCAATTTTATGGTTTCCAGATGAAGTGCGTTCGACCGTAAGTAAATGCCGGGGAAACCCCCCTTTTTTTTGCCTGACCTCCACCCACCGCCCATCGCGTCAGCTGCAGCTGTCATTGTTTAGCTTTTTGCCCTGGCCAAGCTAACAAAAAATGGGAATCCCCCTTCTTTCACCAAACTTTCTTTTCTATGTTTTTGTGTGCGGCACACGCATAAAGTTGCATTTCTTTTTGCGGCCCTTTTGTTTTGTTTTTTGATTTTTCGGCACAGACTGCTTAGCCATTGGCTTGGCCAATTTTTTTTTGTCGGGCTTCTGGTTGCCAATTTTGTTTTTGTTTTTTTTTCGTTATGAGTTATATATGGCACTTGGATCGAGGGAAGTCGGCGGGGAAATCGACGGGTATATCCAGGTGAGCGGGAAGAAGGCTGTGAACATTTCGTTTTAATTAAGAGGCCACTCTGGCAAAAGAGAATACAAGAGAAGGGAAAATAGGCGAAAAACGAGGGCTTCGGAAGAAAGGAAGAAACGTGCAGAGTGTGGAGGAAAAGTCGGGGGTTAGTTCCAGTTGATCCGTCAGCTAATTGAAGCCAACTTTCAGGCTTCGCTGGCCAAATGGAAGCTACAAAAAAATAAAACAGCCAACAATTGGCCTTTATTTATTTATGGACAAATTTTAGCTGGAAAACAAATTAAATCGAATTCATTATATACCTGAACAAACATTGTTTATGGTAAAAACATATTAATCTGCGGTTCACTGGCGAAAAATTCAAGTCAAATTTGCTAACCAGCTGTAATATTGTTATTAAATCCTTAAATTCTTAACAAGAAATGTAATTCCCAATGCTGAAGGTATAAAAATAATTATAAGCATTAAATATAGTTAATAAGTTGAAATACTTTTTCTCTCTGCATCTATTTCATATGCTAATCCCTTTCGAGCATTTCTGCTTTGCCATTGGCATTTATCTAAGTTTTTTTTATGTGGCCCGCTCGTTTTTCTGTGTGGCATGTTGGCTTAGCCACGCCCCCTGACCCCAAATGAACTTGGCTGCCTGACCACACCTGCAGCCATTTGCGGTTCGCAGTAAATGCATTTTTAATGCATTTCATTCCGTTTTTGTGTTTTTCGTCGCTAAAAGCAAGTTCACATTTAAATAAAATTTTATCGTTATGTCCATTTTAATATTGCAGCTGGATGGCGGATGGCCAGATGTTTAGTTGGCCGGCATAATTCTTAATATAAATAAATCAGCGCCGCAGAGCTGCTCATAAAAAGTTCGTATTTGGCCGAATGCAATAAGAGCGAAGTTTTCTGAGGAGATGTCCAACAAATCTGGTCCATGCATCACCGTTGACACTTTCTGGTGACTGTTGAATTTTGCTATTGCCTTTTGGTGAGTGGCAACAGCAATTGCATGGCACAAAACCAACTAGAATGGCAACAAACTAATGGGAATGGGGGTACAAAAAATAAAACGAAAAATAAAAATATATTCCAGGGAACAAGAACATTTAAAGTTTGCAAAAATAAGAAAAAAGATATGAAGAGGGTTCGGTCATTATGAAATGCAATTCGTTTACGAAACGAATTACAAATGTTTAAATGCGACTTAATTTTCCAAAGTTATGGGATCCCAAAAAGGAGTGCCTTGTAATTTTTCCGAAAAATTCGGAATTAAAGGTAAGAGAAGTGAAAGCCTCCTGTGGATGCCATGAGCAAATTCCCTTAACCCCTGAGTGCCCCTCTGCGGTCGGTTCGCCCTTTGTCAGCCTTTAACACGTTGACATCTCACGGGGCTGCTGCTCAGTTTGCGTTTTCTTGCTGTCAAGCTGCCTCCTGTTATTTGTTGCAATTTAAGTGACTTGGAATTGCAATTTATTGCTGCCGGTCTGAAGGGGAAAATCAGCCAGCACGCCTTTGCGCCCATCCGCATTTCCAGCTTTTTCCGCTTCTCCCGCTTTCCCTTTAACCTTCCTTCCCCTTTTGGGCTGGAAATAAACAAGCTGGGAAAACGGAAAGCGGAGAGAGAGACGCCAGAGAAATATGAGAATTTAGTGTAATGTTGTTTTTATTGCAACTTCATGTGCGGAATGCGTAGCAGAGCATTAAAGTGTTGTTGCATACACTTAGCCACCCCTAAGGGTTAAAGGGGAGGGGGTGGTGGGGATGGGAATGGCGGAAAAAACAAGAAAACTTTTCCCTGAAGGACGATCAAGTGACAATTTCCGTCTGGGGTTGCAGAAGATTGTTGGATTTCCTTCTAGATTTTTATATTTAATCGAAGTTAGGTTTTGAAGTTTGGTATGCGATTACCTGCAGTTTATAAACACTTGATACAAAATAACAAAAAAATAAGTATAAGTATAGAAAAAACTAAAATAAAAAGAAACAAATGTTCCACAGAAACGAACTCAAGTAACAAGATAAAGACCGATAAAGAGAGAAAAATCACTTCTATTATGGAGGAAGAAAGTCCATATGCCTTGGACATTCGAGTTTTGATTGTCCTGCCATCGTCTTTGACCCGAGTCCTTTGTCCCTTTTTTTTGTTGTTGTTGTTGCGCCCTGAAAGCGATATTGTAAATTTCTTTATATTTGTCAAGCCAATTGAAAAGTTTGCGGCAACTTTGTGTTGATTTAACACCCCCGGCACACACATAAGACAACAAAGTCACAAGGCTGTCTGTCCTTCCATCAATGAAGAGGGAAAACTTTCCTGGCGAGGATATAAATAAGAAATTGTATGGTAAATGGCCGGCAAGGAAAACAACGTGGAAATACAGCCGAAACAAGCCGGGGAATTATTCGAAAAGAAGAAGTGAAACAATGAGATGGTGGTGTCGGTGGTGGTTAAGTGGGTGGGTCAAAGTGTGGGTGGCGCCAAGTGACCACACAGTGATTTACGCTCATGAAATTGAGTTGTGGCGCAAATTATTTATGAACAAAGCGCACACACAGGAATAACAAACAACGGCAAACGAGGATTGTAATGTCCTGGATGCCAGGACAATATGCAGTTTGTGAAATCGGTATCGAAGTCCTTCCCCAGAGGAACAGAACTGAACAGAACTGAACAGCACAGAACGGAGAGACAGAGGAATGTCCCTTCTGCGGACAGCTTAGAGACTCGAAACAGGAGTGCGGCCAAAGTTTTTTGCGCCCCCGCCCGAAAATAATTTATTAGCGGCAAACGAGCAAAAGTTTTATGAAAATTCAAAAAACACAAGAACACAAGCATGGTGGGGAAAAAAAAACACAGGGAAACAGGGGAAAAAACACAATCGAAACAAAGGCCAAACAAGTGCAAGTTGAAGTTGAGGTGGTAGAAGTTGATGAAGTAGCTCCGGCACCCTCGGCCAACATTTCATTGTCAGTTGAGTTTGTTGAATCGTGCGCTTTGTTTAATATTTTCAGACTCTGTCAAAAAGTTCGGGGCGCTCGGAATTCGAGTGAGCAAATTTATTTACTATCATGTCGGCCAATGAGCGGGGAAATAAATTGGGTATATCAACTATTGCAGTTTGTTGGATTCCCCATTTCAACTTTCATTACAAAATACAACGACATTTAAAATGAAGTGACAAGCTAATGAGCATACAATTTTCCCAAGAATCGATTCAATTTCTACAACTGAATCTATGAATATATAACAATTGTAATTAAACAAATTAAATACGTTCTCTACTGTTTCAAGTAGGTTTTATGGGATTCTGAGAAAGTAGATATTTCTTATAAAGCTTATCTTTGTTTTAATCCTTATATCTTCACTAAGTGTATATTTAAACCGTTGTATTCAGAGGTTCTCCCAAGTTTTGCTGGTTATTTATTGAATTTGGCACACAATTGCACAGGAGCTTATTTTCCCCTGGAAGTTCCCCCCATCCCCCTTCAGCCATTCCTCTTCCACATTCAATTGCTCTGCATGAAATTTATGAAATTTATTCCGGAGGGGGGTGACAAAGTTTTCCTATACTCGTATTTCTTAGGCCAAGGAGGCGGTAGCAAACGGCAAGCTATGTAGGTGCCAATGGCAGTCGCATTACGCATACGCTCCGTGCTCCAACAGACATTACGTATACGCACTGCGGGCTGTTCGATATCATTAGCATTGGCAAATGCATATGAAAACGCCTGTTTCGAGTGGGTGTATACGTGTATTTGTGTGTGTGTGTGTGTGTGTGCTTATTTTTAGAGAAAACAATTTCCGTTGCTTAGCAAAACCAGCCAAAACCCCTTCCCTTTTCCCCTTTTGTCAGCTTTGTATGCAAATGAGCAGAACGAAAATTTCTCATGATAATATGCCATTAATGAGCCGCATTATTTTCCCCCAACTCCCACTCCGAGTGTTTGTCTTCTGTGCCCCGGTTGTGTATTTTACGCCAATTAATCGAACATCGCTTAATACGAAATATATATAATAATTGCAATAATTAAAACCCGTTTGTAATCGGTTGAGCAGAGCAATCTACATACAAGAGAAATGCCCAGCAAAACAATTGCCCAACTATTCTATAACACAACGGGTATCTTCAATTACTAAACAATCGACATTTATTGTAGTCTATGGCTAGGAAGTCTTTGCGATTGGATTTCCCAAGGTTCCTGTTACGACTTCTTGAGCGGTCGGATGAGCATGCGGACGTAGCTGAGCGAACCGTTGGGTCCTGGCACGAACGGCTCCCACAGGATGCCCTTGTAGTAGCCAATCTCATGGCCGTACTTCGACTGGAAGGTCCCGAAGAGGTTGCTGCGGGGGAAAACAATACTTGGTTATTAGCACACAGAAAATGCAAAAGTTCTACGCACTCACTCTCCAAAGGTTTAATTTAAACAAAAAGTTTGAGGAACTTTCTGACACACAAAGTATTTGAAACTATAAAGCTTGTGATCGTGATATGTGAGTTCTAATTAATTACGGTTATAATTAAATATATAAGAGAAGTATGTGTGTGAAAAATTATATTAACTAGCTTTACAATTTTGAAGCTAAATAAAGTTGTATGTAATTTCTTGAAACCAAAATATTTGAAAGTAGAGAATAAAAAAGAAATTCTCTGTGGAAAAGGTTTACACTAAACAACAAGTTTGAGTGGACATTTAAACATTGTAAAATACAAAATATTTGAAAATGTACAACGAGTACAAAACTACTTATAATTATCAGCTAACTTCTCAATATAACAGAACCCTACTCCTCTCCTATTTTTTGGTTGGTCTCCACTCACCTCTTGACACACTCCCTGCCGTACCACCAGGCTCCTGCATGAGTCCTGGCGCAGTTCTGTCCGTTGTCGTCGTTGTCCTGGTCATAGGTGGTGAACTTCTTGCCCGCATGATAGCGCAGTGCATCCCCGCCCGCATCCCCCGAATAAGATCCGAGGACATATAGCAAGTACTTCTCCGATTCGCTGCCAATGCTGAAGTGATCGTAGAGGGCGAACCGTTCCTCACCCTTCTTGTTCCTCATTATGATGAGCAACTCGTGGTGCTCGCTATTCGTCAGCCGATGCAGCTTGTCCAATCCGATGAAGAACTCCGAGTTGATGGGCCCGAAGCCAGACTTGTAGTCCTCCCAACCCCTGTTGAACTCCTGGCTGCCATCGAACCTGTAGGCGATCACTATCCAGCCCCCGCCGCGTATTTTCTGATCGCAGTTCACGAAAAAGGGCTCCTCATCCGGAGCAATTTTGATCCTCACCTGTCCGTGCTTCTCGTCGTAGCAATTCCGTGGCGTATCATCGGTGGGCGTGGCAACTGCCAATGGCACATTGGCTGGCAGTGGACGGAGTCTACAAAATAAAACTTGTTTTATAAAAAGAACTCTCTATAAAAAAATATAAAGACTATTTAAATCTACATACAATCTGGTTGAGATGGGAACTCCAGAGCCCTGATTTTTGTATTCGTCAACAAGCTGCTGCAGCTCATTTAATTCGGTTTTCAAAGATTGCAGCTCATCCGTCATGTATTCTATGCTAAAAACGCATTTTTATTAATGAGAAAAGTATATAAACTCGATAAAAAACTACTCACCGAGCTGCCAAGGCACCCAAAGTACTTACAGGACAACTATCAGCATTCTAAAAGAAATTAAATATTTGTTAAAATAATTTATATGTTAATACAGTGGCCTTACCCACATTTTCAGCAGCTAGAAATGGCTCCATGGAGTTTCGCATTATCACCGAAAACTGTTTTCCTGGCAAGTTGCTCGTCACATTTGTGGTGGTGCTGAGGCAGGCCAAAGCCGTGACGAGCGCCTCCAACGCCATGGCGATGCCTATATAAATTCCGATTAAAATCTATATACCGATATATATATATAGATTGTTCCGATTCGAGTCTCGATTTGTGCCAGCGACTGCAACGCAGTTGCAACTGCTCATCTGGGCAACTGACTAAGTAAGCTGGCTAACTAACTCACTGGATCAGTAACTAACTGGTGGATGATTGGAGATGCCATAAAAGTCACGACTGGTGAAGCGATCACAGTGAGGACAAGATCATTTTAAAAAAAATATAACACAGTCTACCTTTAACTTTCAACAATAATGTTTTGAATAAAGGTTTGAGTATATGTAGAATTTCGTTGTAATCGATTTAAATACAATTCCACAAAAAATTTGAAAATTTACTAAGATATAATTTTTTATTTTTGGTAGGAGAACATATTTTATTTTGCCTTATAACGTGGTTGGAGAAGAGAAGTCTGAAAAAATTGCATAACAACCTGCTTTTATATAACAAATTAATCCCAAGGTAAGTTATTTTCTCTGTGTGTAGTGTTTAGTGTTGTTAGCTTGCAGTCACTTGATGAGAAAGCACTGCCCAACACTCGCTGTTTCTAATTAGCATACTTGTTTTTCTAATCAATCGAGTGACCTTTGTTTCGATTCGCACTGTGCCTCAGATCCAGCAGTTAGTGCTCATGTGTTAACTCAGTTAGTCAGTCAGTAATTTAGTTAGTCGCCAGTGGAAATATGTCGCAGATGCTGCAACTGGACGCTTTGGTCATGGCCATGGCCTGTCTGTCCACCACGCAAACGGATCTGGGCGGAGGACTCATGGTGCCGCCCTCTTTGGAAAATGCGGTGAGTTGCAAGAGGTTCTGGGAAATCCAACACGACTTTAAGCCGCAATTGTTAAAGGCAGATCGAAGCCAGTTTGTCGCAGCATTTGCAATGCTAAATATAAGCTTTGGGGGATTTACAAGCATCGTGGATATAAAATGTATACCTATTATATATCACATACCATATAAGACGAATTGAAATTAATAAATAATATTTGATTGAATTTCTTTTTTGTCAGCGAAGCAATAAGCTTTTGCCATTTCAATTTTTAAGAACTGGCTTTGAAATTGATATTTCTTTCCCATCTCACTTTGAAAAAAATTTATTAAAATGTGTCTATTTCAGAGCTCCAGCAGCTGTCCAGTTTCGGCTCTGAGTGGCCTTACAACCAGGATGCAATCGCTAACGAGGGAAATAACCAGTGTTAAGGAACAGATAGGCAGTTTGCAGGAGCAATTGGTGGATTTGAGGAGAACGGGAAGCTCACCAGCGGTTGCTCTTTCCACACCCACTGCCATAGGATCTCGATTGTGAGTAGATGCTCGGAATACTGGCCATCACCAAGTAATAACCCATAGACCTCTTGCCCTCGACAGCCTGGATATTGACCCACAACTCTTGGGAGGCGGTGGTGCAGGGGCTGGGCCAACCACTCCGACAAATTGCGTGAAACAACAACACGGAGTGGTGCGAATTCGAGTGCGGTCGAATGTGGAGCCCTTCTTCGTTTTCTGCGATCAGAAAGTGAGGGGCGGCGGTTGGACAGTGGTGCTCAATCGATACAACGGCACCGAGGACTTCAATCGCAAGTGGGCCGATTACAAAATTGGATTTGGGCTCCTGAACACCGAATTCTTCATCGGACTCGATAAGTTGCATCAGATAACGAGCAGCGACAACTACGAACTGCTGGTTCAACTGCAGAATCGAAGGCAGGATCTGCGACATGCCCTCTACGATCACTTTAGCATCGGCAGTGAATCGGAGCAGTATCGCCTGAATGTCCTGGGTGAATACCAAGGCGATGCCGGCGATGCACTGCGTGAGCACACTGGCAAAAAATTCAGCACCCAGGATCGCGATAACGATGAAAGCGAGCAAAACTGTGCGGCTTTGCAATCGGCAGCTTTCTGGTATGCCGGATCCTGCAATCTCAGGTGGATTTCGAAATGGGAACTATTTTTAATACCTTATTGATAGCTAACTAATGTATTTTTCTTGCAGTAACCCCTTTGGTTTGTATCAACGTCGATTCGATCGAGATTTCGAGGATTTCAAAGGCATTTTGTGGCACGGTTTCTTGGACGGACCCAAGGGATCTCTTCAAATAATCCGAATGTTAATTCGTCCCCGCGCTATTTCATAAATAACTATATAGTATATTTCAACGCTTACACCAAACATACTATAACAAAACACCCAATAGGATACGAAAAAAAAAAAAACAAAATTTGAAGGAAATTAAATTCAATTTAAACTTCGTTCAGCTTGTCAGTCTCTTCCGTTGTGGTTGTGGTGGTGCGAACAGTGGTGGTGGTGGTGGGATCCTCTGAGCCCCTGACCACCAGGGCATCTCCAAAAACTGGCTTGAAGAAGAGCACGAAACGGGAGTAGCGACGAGCGGAGTTCTGGGAAGGATTCGTCAAGCACACACATAAGAACATAAAAAAAAATAATTTCTTAAAAATAAACCACATATTATAAACCATTTAACCATTTTGAATTTATATAAATTATTAAAAATTGTCTGCTTGTAGCTGTTCCTCCCTTTCATTTCATAAATAATATAAAAGGCTTTATATAGAAAAAAGGATTTCGGCAGCACTTACCATGATCAGACGGGATAGCGACTTGGAGATATTGGTAACCGTCAGCAGGGACTTGTTCAGGAGCTCCGAGGGAAGTTCAAGGGAGGCATCGCTCATGATTTCGGCGGCGTCGCTCAGATCTTTGCCCCCCGCCCGGCGACGTCTCTTGATCTGATGAATATATATACATATAGAGAAACATGGATGAGCGATGTGAGTGAGCAGAGAGATTCCCATCTGAATCAAAAATCCAAGACCAAAAATCCAAAAACCCGAAGCCAAACTTTAAAAGCCCGACAAGGCCAAGGCCGCCATTGAAACAAAGGTGTGGAGTGAGTTGGTTTTCTGTTTTCGGTTTTATTCGCTTTTGTGGAGTCGTGGATTTCTCTATCGATATATAGGTATGTATATATTTGTTTATGCCGAATATTTACAAACATGAAACTTAACTAGGGTGTAAACAAAAAAAAAATAAGAAACGACGATTCGGGTGAGTGGGAGGGAAGTTTTGGGCTACAAACTCAAACAAAGATTCTGATGGGTGTGAGGGGAGAAAATAAAAGAAGGGTTCAACGATAAATTACAGCTCTCATTAGTTGGCCTTGGATCGTTGGGGGTTATTCCTCCTAGTAGCCCGCCTCATCCGAATCCGGGGCTGGTGTCGTTACGCCGGCAATTCCGTTCACTCCGCCGGAGGATCCCTGCAGAATTGGACCCGAGAAGCTGAGGAACTTGGACACCACATTTCCCAGGCCGGCATTGGCATTTCCACCGCCCGACGAGGAGCCGCTGAAGGCGGTAATTGTGGTCAGGACACCGGTGGTCAAGTCGTTAGCAATGTTGCCAATCGAACGGATCTTCGGCGAGACGACGGCGGTGATCAGAGTCTGGAAATCCTTGATGGGCACCGGCGACTTGATGTCCCACTGCTTGTTCTTCTCGATATTCGAACGGTCCAGCTGCTCGATTACCCTCGTCTTCGTGTCCAGGAAGTTGTCGATTTTCTACATAAATTTCCAATGGGTTTTAAAATTGCTCTTCTGTTGTATTTTCAAAGCACTTAAATACTCACGCCAAAGACAAAGCCAAGTACTGCGTTTTTAGCCTCGAATGTGGCATCGGGCAGTTTTCTTTTGTTGCGCTCCTGGACACCTAACACCTCCTGGAAATGGAAAATCGAAGTGGAAAATACAGGATCACCCACACGCAAAGGGACTCAGTTGAAAACTGATTTCAAAGCTGGACCTTGGTCGGATTTAAAGTGGAATTTTGATCCAATTTATAAGCGAACCCCGCCTTGCTTTTCCTCCAGTATTTATATTAATTTGTTTAATCTTGCTTTTCGCTCTTGTCGGACTTTAATCGATTGGATTCTTTGCCTAATTGCACCTGCCGAGTGTTACCAGTATCGACTTCAAGTTTAATTGCTGCCAAAGAGCGGGTAAAAAAGCACTCGACACTGGGGGCCAGTTAGACTTGACCCAATTTTCGGGGCTGGTCAAAGAAAAAAACACTTATGCACATACATAAGTAATTATATCACTTGGGGACCTTCGGTCATTCTAAGCCGACGTCTGTTTTTGTATATATATCTATATGTCTGGTACTTTCGGACCGCTTCTCGATCGATCGCCGGTCCAAGGCATTAAAATTCACCTCGTCATTTGACCATATGTATGCACCGCGATATCGAAGCCGAAATCAACTCATTTCCAACCAAAACGCATAGTCCAAACTCTCGGAATCACATTTCAAGCCGAACTAAAGCGGTTCGCTTTTAGTGCACTGCTCTCCGTACTTGCAATTATACGACTTTTTTTTAACAATCGATGACGTCTTTTCAGCCTCTAATAAAATTGGGAAATAATTCGACTGTCATTCTATCTCAAGGAAGAACATATTTCTAATGTTGCATTAATAGATACATCCGATATGTATATAGAAATAAAATATAAATTGATAAATTATATAAAATTTAGGATTTCACAAAAATATTCAAAATAAAATTAGGACAATCAATGGTGAATATTCATTGTCTAGAGGAAAATTTTTCAAAGTCAAATTCAAAATATTTATGAAAAGGTTATTGAAAGGTTGAACAAAATGGTTTTTAAAACCAAAGACAACAACAGTAAATCAGCTTGAAAACTCTTAACAAAAATTCTCCTTCAACCCACAGATTTTGATCACAACTAATATCTTGAAAATTATGCAACTCATTTCGGCGTTTTTGGTTCATTGTTCTGCCATTCTCCCTCTTGAAAGTTTTTGAGATTGTCAAACCTAAAACCGCCTCGAGCCCACATGGTGTATATATTATTTTTCTGTTTGGGTTTCGAACAGCTAAAACAACTAGGCGATTTATTAGTTTAACAAAACGCTAAACACATTACGCTCTACACCTTTTATTTTCTGCCTTTTGTTTTTGTCCGCTGAAGTGACAAACAAAAAGCGTGAGCTATGATTTATATAGAGCAAAATCAGGTCAGTTGTTGAAAGCTGAACGAGCAGTTAAACGAAGGGACTTACAACAAGTTTAACTACTACTTGAATGGAAAAGTAGGAAAATGTTGGCTGAGATAATGCTTGACTATTTAAAAGCTAAGGGTTTTTTAGAAGGAATATTAAACACTTCAAAATTGGTATAAACAGAGAATAAAACATATGAAAAGATTTTTTAACTCTACTTTCCTATGCACCTCTCAATTGTAGTTCCGTAATTTAAAAAAAAAGAAGAAAAATACCCCGAAATTACAAATTTTGAATCAATAAACGCAAAGGCGAAGAAATGAAATATGAACCAACTTTGTAGGCGCGGAAATGTTTCGAAATGCGTGCGAATAAGAGGAAGCGAGAGAAGAAGAGGTGATGAGCCACGAAGAGGCTCCCCGACTTCCCTCTCTTTCTGCCCGGATCTACCCTCTCTTTCTGACCAAGGCGTTGGCTTGGCTTCTTCGGTCTTCACAGTTTTGGCTTTTGGAATGGTTTTGAAATGTTAACGTAGGTCGTTAACAAGTTTTGTCGCCATCAAGGTCGTCTGGTCGTCGAATGGCCAACGAATTTGGAATTGATTTTTGGCTTTAAACTATCTTTTCTTTGGCTCCGATTTTTTTTTTTCGCGCGATTTGCATACCAGCTGAGGCCAGAAAATTGGCCAGAAGTCGGTTCAATGCACCACAAAATTAACAGCTTGCACAACGGACAACAAAATAGCGTTAAAATGTGCAACAAAAGAGAGAGAGAGAGAGACAGAGACAGAGAGAGAGAGAGCGGGAAAATGTTACTTTCACGGCAGGAGACAATCAAGTTTACCCCTCATCGACTCATCGGATTTTCGCGTAGACTTCCTTGTTGGGTTTTTGGATTGGATTTTTCTCGGAGGGTTTTTCGGCATTTATCTTATTGGTTTTCATTTTGTTACCTCTGCATTGATGGGATTCAAGTCGGGATCGCTGGTATCCTGAAAAGTGGCCTCCAGCTCGGAATTGATTTGCTGGGGAGCGGGATAGCCCATCGATAACGATAGCGTTACCGATAGCACGGCCATCGACAATAACAAACGGCTCCTGGTGGTGAACTGCATATTTATTTTTCTGCAAGAAACAAAGGGTTTATCAAAGGGTTTTTGCAATGGAAAATTTTCGGGTAACTTTATCAAACAAAAAAAAAAAACTTTGAATTTTTGTCTGTACCGCAAAACAAAACACAAACTTTAAGCTCGAACAAAAAATAATAAAGTTTGGTAAACTTGTGAGCAAGTGTATTTGTTGTCTTCTGGGAGCCGCGCCGCCAGATACGTGATACTAGCACGTTCACTAACTTTAAGCAAATGACTGCGGACGAAAGTTACTTCAATGATTTAGCAGTGGCCAAAAAATCGGTTACACAGCCCACGGCGCATGCGCAGAGCTTTTTTTGGCGCCGCTGCGCAGTCCACTCAAAAAATAACCGCAGCCAGGTCCACCGAAAAATCCGAGACCAACGCAATCCGGCCAAATTGAATTTTATTGCCGCCCGATTCGTGGATTCGTTTGGATTCGTTGGATGCAAGACGTCGACGGCGACGTCGGCAGCGATTCGAGCGTAACGCCGGCGCAAAAAACACGTTTTTGAGCGCAAATCCGAACGGAAAGCGCTCAATAAAGTGCAAAACGAGACGCCAGAGATGTTAAGTCACCGGTGTTGTTGTCTTGTTAATGGTGTTTCTGCAATGCGCTTTTAATTTGTACTCTTTGGCTTTCAATTAAGGCACACACTCACTCACACACACACTGAAACAGGGGCACAAGTCGGTCATACGCGGCGTATGCGCAATGTGCATTCTCAATCACTTTTTCGATAGTACGCTTGTTATATAAGTCGAAGTCAAAAAGGATTTATGCATTCTTGTAATTTACGTGTAATAATTGTATCGAAATTTTCTTCGTAGCTTCGAAGCATAAACAATATTTTATTACGCAAATGAAATAAGAACAATTGAACTTAAAAGTTATAGATTTTAGATTCCGAGAAATGTTTTTTATGAGGTACGTATTTTCATAAATAATGTAAGTAGAGAGCATAGAAGTTAACCTTTTCTAGAGTGACAAAAGCCACCTTCCTTGACCCTAACATTGACTAAGAATTCAGCGCTAGCTGGATTTACTAGTAAAACGGACCAACTAAACTCGAAATGCCTATGTAAAATCGCATGTTAATGCGCTTTTTACGATTAATAATCAACATAAATTATACGCATTTATGGCTAGAAGTAAAATGTCATGGGATAGAGAACAAAAAACGAACATAAAGAATATTCGCACAAGCTAAAGAAAATATAATCAAGTCGCTCGCCTTCGGCAAACAGAGGGACACCGATAAATTGGAGTCAAAGTGCGCGTATCGAATTCAGACGAAACTTAATAACTGGAATTGCATGTCGGGTGCATGGACTGCACTCCAATGCGATCCGATCGGATCTGATACGGCCAGATATGATCCGATCCGATCCGATCCGATTCGAAAAGCTGCATGTATAATTACTCAATTCTGAGGACCGAGTTCTGAATCCGTAACAATTAACTAAAAAAAAAAAACAAAAATCGCCTGCAATTTCAATCGATTCGAATCGAATCAAAGCAATCGATTAAGTCAATTTTCAGATACAAATTGAGCTTTAAAAGAATGAGATCATCTGCACTCGATTTTAGCATGTTTATTATGTTTCCCATGCAATTTTATGATTTATTGAGCAATTTGCGGGTTTTTACAAGCACTTCGTTATGTAAATTATCTCAATTATTTCTGAGTGTAAGGAGAGCAATCAAAAGGGATTATTTTTGCTTTCGAGATCCTTGAGAATATCCTCGGCAATCGAAAGATCTGTTCCATTTAATTGCGAATGTCACTGCCTGTTTCTGGGTGCTTCTGAAACCTTTCTGTTTAACCCCTGGCAGGCACTTAACCCGTTTTTGCAACAATCCGGCAATTTGCTTATCAATGTGCGGGCTCCATCAACGCCTCGGCTCAAGGTCATCCGGGTCGTTTGCCGGAACGGGACCGAAACATAATCCTTAATTGACATGAAGAGGTGCTGGCGCACCTTGCCCCTCATTTATTCCATTTAATTTCTTACTTCGTATGACGACAACCGGGCAAGAGGCCCAGATAAAGCAAAATTAATGCGCGCATCCGTTGAAATGACAAATAATAAAATAAAAAAAAATGTAAAAATTTCAGCAACGAAACCGCAACGCAAAAAAAAAGCCAAAATACAAAATGCAAAGTGCACGCTCAGTTGTCAGCGTTTTTGTGGGTCACAAGGTCGGGAGATGTCTCTTCAGAGGTCTCCACATGCAGCTCCATCTTCATCTTCATCTTCATCTCTACAACCACATCTGTGTTTTGTTTCTTTTTTATTTTAATTTTTTTTCTTTACAGACCGGAGAACCTGTGCCCAGAGCATGCTCGAGTGCCTCTTACTTTGTGGCCTTAGTTAAATTAACTTTCAATTTTCTTGTCGCCGCAAACGAGACTCATCTGCACGAAGCCCTTGAAGATGATTTCAAAAAAAATAAAAGCCACATTCTGACCCATTTCAGTTTAATCAAAGTTAGTATCTTTTAAAAAGCTTATAGAAATTTAAATAATGAATAAATAAATAAAGCTTTTTTCATTGCGTATCAATGGCACTTTTATGCTTAGAATTTTAATAGAATCTCAAGAGATCCGGCCAGTTGCTCTGCCTAATTTGGCAGCTCAATTAGCAAATTATCCATGGAAATTCAATTACAGCTCGTTGCCGTTGAGGCGCCTCAATTAGAACGCCATAATTGCTGGCCAGCCCCTCCAGTTAACCATTTAGCCAGTCAGTCAATCAGTCAGTAAGTCAATCTGTCAATCTGTCAATCTGTCGAGCGCGTGTCATAATGCTTATGACAGAAACAGAAGTAAAAACAAGCGACAAGCACACTTTTAGCTTTTACACTAGCCAATCTTGCAGAAACATGCCGTTTTGGCCTGGCCAAGACCCCAAATGCGCCCCAAATCCTTGCCCCCTGAACCCGAGTCCATTTTTATTTTTTACTGGCTTTAACAAGATCTTCATTGCATTTCCAGTTTCGCCTTTTGGTTACAGTTTAGAGTTAACAAGCTTAGTTGTCGCCGCGAAAATGTCATGGGGCAAAATAGTGGGGCAGACGCATTAAATCCGTACTAACCAGTGGCAACTTGTTCTCTGGAAATAGTAATAGTCGTAGTCGTATGCCATACACCGTATATACTGTACACCATATACCCTTAGTCGCCATGTCGGGGCATAATTTGGCATTACCCAATCGGCGGGGGGTTATGCAACAGTTGTCATTATGCATTATGCGCTGGCTTCTTTTTCTTTTTTTTTTCCTACGTTGTTTCGGGCCGCGGCATTAATGTCACCTGCTCATCGCTGTTCTGGCCACAATGACTTTGCTAAGTGCACGCAGGAGAAACCAAAACAAAAAAACAAAAACAAAAACAAAACCAAAAACAAAATAAAAGCCCAAAATAAAAATGACATAAAATAATAAGTAAGTGAAACGGGTAATCCTATGGAGCGCCTAGCTTTACGAGTTACCACTTACACTCGGAAACTTTTGAGCGGCCGGCCATAACCATTAACCACTAACCACTAACCATTTCATTTGGGCCCAGAGCAAGGCTCGTTAACCAGGTGCTGCAGATGCCACCACGCGATTCCACATCCCATTCCATCTAATGTACTCAACTCCGCCTAATGGACTGCTGATGGCTTTGCGTAAGTCTCTTTACGGCCTGCGTTTTTCGCATTTTACTTGAGGAAATGTCAAAGGAAGCGGCGTATATTGTCAAAAATTAATATTTTACTCAAGCAACAGCACTTAGAAAATGTAAAACCTATAAAAAAAAATAATAAAGCACAGAATTGATCGTGCTATAGGCCTAGCTAAATTCAATAGATATTAGCTTAGTTTTTATTCAACAGACAATCTCCGAATGTGGCAATGAGAAAAGGAAAGCCCACAAAAGAATTGCCTATCGAGATCCAAGTGGACTAATAGTCTCACAATCGCAATGCTCTTAATCGAAAAAAAAGAGTTAATTTAGTTTATATTAAGACCGAGTTTAAGCCAATCCTTCACATCAAGAGCTTTTGTTTTGTGCCCAATAGCCGGGTCGAATTTAATTGGTAAAGGCGTTGCCAACAGACCATTCACCGGCGACTCAGATTTCGACTCAAAACTTAGAATCAGCCGAGCGAACTTTGTTCTTGGCCAGGCCGAAATGATTCGTTTTGATTCGGCGCAAAGGTTGCCGGAGATTCGGATTCTAGTGTCAGGTGGCGTTTATTTGTTTGTTCAGCCATTACAGTAATTATAGTATTAATAAATCTCGCCACTGCGTTGGCGGCCGGCGAAGGTCGCCTCATAATAATATCATTTTGGCTTTAGCTTTTTTGAAAGGCATTTCGAATCTGAACACTTTGCTTAATTGCCGTGCAGAACTTAGTGCTGTTAAATGAGCCATAAATTGGAATTCGCTTCTAAGCTAAACGAAAATGCATAAGGCTTATGAAATTGCTAAGCAAATACAATTCAAGAGTATTAAAAATATTTTTAATTAGGGAAAAACGGCTCAACAATAAACAGCCATTCATAAGCCAAGAGGCGCATCAATTTATATTAACAGCCCAGTTGGAAGTATCATCGTAAAACAAAAAAAAATGTGTGAAAATTCATATAATACAAGATGTGCGTTTCGGACTTTAAGTGCTCATAATTGAAACATAAAATCACAACACATGAAGGGGGGGGTGGAATAGGAAATTTCACGATTTACATAATAGGCGGGCCAAAAAACCAAAAAAGGGGGCCATTGTTTTGCATCAATTTTGATAAGTTTCTACGCTTTTCGAGATTGCGTTGCGTTGCCCCAATCGATTTGCATAACTCTCCCGAAACAACCCCACAAATCAGAGCGTCTGGCCTGGTCAATAAACTTATTGACCGACTTAGATTTGACACCTGCACGTATATCTTATTGTTTATATAGAGACGCCCCCTCGCCGGTTTGCCTTCGGCGAGTTTCCAGCTCGACTGCTCCACTTTCATGGCGTTTACTTTCGCTTTTTACCCCGTTTTCATTTTCATTTTCGTTTTCGGTTTCGATTTTATTATTATTATTTTTTGTTTTTGTTTTTATTGTTTTTGTTTCTGTTTTTGGTCAGCTATCATCGCTGGCTTTTGTTATTGCTTATGGCTGATGGCTTTTAGCTTTTGGCCCAATGCGCGTTGATGGCTGAATTGGCTGCTGTATCGCGGACTAGGGCTTATCTGGTCAGAGCCATCGACTTGGCCAACGACCTTGAGACCGTTACCGGTTTCTTTGGGCCAGGCCACTCTTGCATGGCCCAGACCAGTCGGTGTTTGAGCGTGTTTCCATCTCAGACTCTTATTCATCCTCAATGGTGGCAGCAGCCAGGGGTCAGGCCAAAAATCACCACTAGGTTAACAGGTAGTTAACCCCGAAAATTCCACAAGTTTTCAAAAAGTCTAGGAAAATTCCCCTCAGCCAATGTTAACAAATTAACCTTTTCAAAGGGGTAAATGTAACAAATGTTTTGTTAAAACTAAAACATTTTTTTTACAATAATACGATATAAGTAACACATTTCAGATTTTTCTTTATGAGAAATTAATTATAAAAATATTGAAATCTGTCTAAATGTAATTAAACATTTATTAAAACATTTTACACATTCATGTTAAATAAATTATGATTTCTTTTTGAATTATATTTTAACAAAACATAATAAATTATGTGAATGTCTTAAATAAACAATATGAAATATTGAAAACAAAAGTGGTTCGTCATAAGAGAACAATAAAACTCTCCCTTTTACGACTTACATATACTGTATTAGTTAAGTCCGTAGCTTTTGTTAATTGATTCATGAAGCAATTAACGTATTTGACTCTTCACTTTTGCATTGTTGACGTCGGCGCTGTTGCCAAATTTCGGTAGCCGAAGCGATTAATAGTGAAACGCTAATCAAAGATGCCCCCCACTCCCCATTACCGCCCATTGTGATGTTGGTTTTCGGAACAGACCTGACCTATGGCCAGCATTTTGAGTTGAGGCTTAGCCCAGTTAGCAAGTTCGTTGCCTAAGTCTTTCGTTTTGACACACATTTTGAGCTGGGATTTTCGCTCTCTTCCCTTTTTTTGGTGCTCTCATCCGCTTTTAACCGCTTTATATATGTAAACTCACCTGAAATATAATAAAATAAAGATGCGGCCGGCCAAACTTAATTGCAATGCGAACTCTCCGGAGCACCCAAATATATAATTGAGTTCATTAACAATTTCAAAATGCAAATAAACCAGCACAAACACCGCACAGAAAAAAAGGAAAACAATAAACGGAAACTTAGGTTTTGTAAAATATTAACGCACAACTAAACGGCCCGCAAAATGTCACTTGGTCTTGTGAAAGATTCACGCATAACTGAAAGCTGAAACTCGCCGCTGAAAAGCAGCCCACTTCAAAAAAGAGAGCGAAAGAGAGAGAGAGAGCAGGCGGAAGAGAGAGCGAGAGAGAGAGGCGGAGAAAGCAGAAGAAGGTATGTAAAAGCCTTTCAATGAAACCTGTAATCAGTAGAAAGTGACACAATGTTCGCTCCACTGGCCAAAATGTAGTAGTTTGTAGTTGGCCAAACGGAGAAAGGTAAAGGGAAAACACGCTAAAAAAAACTGAAATGAAAATCAGGAAATGCTCAAAAGAGGGCCTTCAAAATCCAAACACAATGGTCTATAATAAGTGGGAAAATGTGCTATAGAACTTCCACTACTTAAATTAATTCTTAGCGAATATACATTATGTAGGGGAGACCGGGGGGTTTTGAGACGGGTTTTGTTTTTTGACAAAAAATATAATAGAAAAGCCATTTTTCTGCCCGTACAAATTTTTAAATCATAGTTCAGTGTAATTTCACTCAGACAAGAGTATAATTAGTTGAAATTTTAGTTCGACCTTCAAGTTTTGCCTGCCTGCTCAAAAGTTGTTTTTTATGGATTTTCGCAATGTTCGGGGGTTGTGAGACACAAATTTATAAGAATGAAAATGGCTTAATTTTATCAAAATTGTTTATTTTAATCTTTATTAAGGCATATTTTGTGGTCTACAATTTATTCAAATTGAAAAGATTTTGGCTTTTTTATAGCAGCCACAAAAACATTGACATCAATCGCAGATTTGGCAGTCTGACTATACTTATGTCGCACCATGATGACTAAAGAAAGAAAAAACGATCATCAAAAACACTGAATCCATCAAAAATATCAAAATTATCATTAAGCGTTTTGGTTTTGTACAGAAACACTATATCAGGCTATAAAATACAATTTTATGTTCCTAGATGACGCGGTAATAGAATGTCTCATAACCCCCGAGAACGTTGTCTCACGACCCCCCAATAGCTATATTTTAAATATGGCTTCTGCTTTACGGACGCATTAAATGTTTATGCAAAATTTGTTCCGTGTTTCAAAAGGCTACTCACCAAGGAATGTTTCGGATGTATGCAATCTCGCAAACCGCTTGTAAAACAAAGCGAAAAGACAGCAAACACGAACGGTCTACAAAACTTTCGATCACAAAATTGGAGTTGCGATTTGGGAAGACATAAAGAATCGGCATGAGCGGAATATTTGTGATGTGGATATGAAGATTGAAAACAAGCAAGAAGTTTCGCAGTCAGCTGGTAGATGTCGCGCTTTTTAGTTAAGGGCTGAAAGCGCGTCTCACGACCCCCCGTGTCTCAAAACCCCCCGGTCTCCCCTATTTATTATATTATAAATGATTATTATCTTGCGCTTAATCAACTATATTTTTCTTTGAAATTATAGTTTTGTATAAAGCATTTATAATTGATCTTATATATTAAATTATCAAATATTTTAAATTTTCTTATATTTTATCTCAAGCCCAACGTCAAAGTTCATTCCCCTTTTTTACCCTCTCTGAACTTTAATTTCAGCAAATGACTCCAGCTGAGTTGACCCACCTTTTTCACCCCTAACCCCTGTTCATAGTTTTCACTTCCGCTCTTTGAGCGCTTTTACTTTTATTTTACTCCTTCGGGGGAGTGGCTTGTTTTTCGCAGCAACTCCCACTAAACTCCCGTGGATCTCTTGCATCAGTTGCTGTCCGAATGGTTACGCCATTTGATTTAGAGCCCACCGTTTTACGCTTTCTTAGCTGCCCAAATGACCAGCAAGTCTTTCTCCTCACTTCTTTATTTATTTGTATTACAAACTAGCAAAAAAAAAAATGGATTTAACACAACGATTAACGTAACGTAACTATTATGTGATGACTAAGCTGGCTAGAATGGCTCATACTCGTAGGGGCTCCAAGATCGATGGTGGTGATCCGCCGGCTTGGCATGATGCCCCATGCTGCTGCTGGCGAAAATATTCTTTGCCGCACTCGAAGCTCCTCCGGCGGCTCCCAAGCCAGCATTTAGAATTAGCCCGAGTGCATTGCTAACTAAGTGGGAGGCCACCTGTTTCACAAACCCGCCGGAATCGAAGTTACTAGCCGCTGCTGCCGCCCAACCGCCGCCCTCTTTCTTCTTGCGTGGGCGTGGCAACTCCGCACTTCCGTGCCGCTCCTCTGATCCTTCCTCGGAATTCGGTCGGAATTTCGCCTCCAGAAAGCTGGTGATCAGGTTCTTGGTAAAGGTCAAAGGTTGCGGCGGGCCCTCCTCCTCGGGATCCTGTTTGAAAGTCACAAAATTGTTTATTTTACGTCTTAAAAATTTAAATTATCTAGGGTTAGTAACACAGTTAACAGGTTGGGATCTAGAAGTAAGCGAATAAAGTATAAATACTGCGCTGAGTGCGGCCAACACAGTGCCCAGGAAGTTGCCCAGAAATTGACCATTGTTTATCTGAAATGAAATATATTTTATACAATAATAATATTGTTATTATTTATGAGTTAGTTTTAATCATTAAAAGAGCCTAAATCCTTGGTAAAACAATACATACTTAAGCTCTTTTAATTAATACCAATTCAATTTATAAAATATTTTATTGTTTTTAGATAAAACTCACCGCTCCTCCTCCGCCGGAAAGTCCATCCAAGGCAGTGCCCACATATCGACCCAAGACGAGACCAAAGTTCTTGTTGCCAGCCAGAAGACCAGAAATCAGCGAGGTTCCCGATTGAATCAAGCCTTGAACATCCAGGCCGCCAGGCTAAAGGGATGTACATTACACAATAACTTTAAGGAACTATTCACCAAACAAACTTACACCAAACAAAGTGGAAACGAGGCCAGTGAGAGCACCAATTAGAGCACCCACATCGGAGCCACCTTCTCCCTGGAAAATGTTTACTTTAACTTAACCATTTCTGAGTATCTCTTATGTATTCCTTTACTTACACCACTGAGGCTCCCAATAATTCCAACCAGGCCACCACCTCCTCCTCCGCCCCCGCCTCCTCCTTCAGGATCAGTTTCGCCATCGCCAAGATCATCGTTGTCATCAGTGGCCAGTTCCGAGGAGCCTGTGCCCTCCGCTTCCACCTGTTTCTCCGGCTTGGCATTCATTATTTTCGGTTTACCCTTGGCCTTGACTGTAATATTTCGCGACTTCGAGGAGCCATTAGAGGAGGGTTAAGTGAACCAAGTCAACGTTGGGTTAGGCCATCGATTAGCAAAGCAGGTTAGTCACAAAAGGTATAACAAGGGTCGCTTTGCTTACCTTTACATTTACTTGCAGGTCATCGAGTTCCGAGGGATTGGGTTCTATTTTGATGCGCCGCGGCGGCTGCTGATCCAACATGTTTTCCTGAAAGTCATCCTGGAAGCGCAAGTCATGAGCCTGGCGTTAAAATATCAAGCGTTTCACACTTAGGACATGCACTTTTGAACTTTTTTTAAACAAGAACTTAGGACACTTAATAATTTACAAAAATTATACTTTGAAAAGGTTAAAAAAATCAAGTTTCCAATTTTATCATTACTTTTAAACTGTCTACGTTTAAGCTTAAAATTTTGTGCAAAATCATAATTATAATAATTTTCAAAATAACAAATTTGAGATGTACCTCTGATAATATAGACTTTATAATCCTCATTTCCTCGGGCAACTGTCGCTGCTCCGCCTCCTCTTGTTCGAAGTCCTTTTCATCCTGTTTTCTTCGATCAGTTTCCCCTTTGATCTGCCTTTTGTGGATCACCTTTTGCTTGGCTTTGGCCAGCACTCCATCCTCAGTGGCATGATCCAATAAATGTTGCAGAGCCTTGTCAATCTTCGCTTCCAATTCGTTTTTCATTTGCGGCACTTGCTTGATGATGTTCCTCCTCAGTTTTCCCAATCTCTCGCCCAATTTCGGCTGATCTGTTTGATCGGCGGATAACTCCTGATTGTACAACTCCTCATCCTTTTGCTGCTGGGCCATTTCCCTAAGTTCCGCTCGAAAATCATGATCATCTTTCACTTGGGAAACCACATCCATCACTCGATTGAGGATTTCCAGGGCTCTCTGATCCCGCGACAATTGCTGTTCGATGGCATCGATTTTCGACATGACGCGATCCTTTTCCGTGAGATTCATTTGGAACAGTAACTCCCGAATGGCGGCCACCAAATGCTCCTCCATTTGCTCCTCCGCCTGGCGAGCTCCGTTGAGTAATCCTATCCCGGTTACTGCTCTCAGTTCCTCCCTGGGAAGAATCCTTTCCAGCCTGCGATAGGCGGTGATGGCCTGCAGGTAATGCGATTGCAACTCCATTCCACCCGGCCTGCTCCTCACCGATCCTGGCAACAGGATCAATCCGATTAATCCGAGAAGCAATCGCAGCACTCGCAGGTTCTCCATTGGCGGCCGATCGAAATAAAACTGCGCCCAGGAAGCTTTGTCCACTGCCTCATATAACATCATGTATCATATACCGATCGTTCGAATCGTTCACGGTTAGTTGGGCGGTGGGCGTGGCCAGGGGATCCTCCCATCGGATCCGCCTCCGTTTTGCCGATTGTGCAATGGGTCAATCGTCTGTGGAGCTGATCAGTGTGGCATATCTTGGTCGGCTTGTCGTACGCAAATAAAGCAACATCTTAACTAGGGGGCGTTTTGCTCCTAATCTATCAACTAGTTTCGGTTCACAATAGGTACTAGTTGTTATTACTCAATTATGTTGCATGTAAATAAGTATGTATTTATATACCTACCATTTTAAAAAAATTACCCAACACACCATAAACATTCCTTAGTTCATAGGATTCATTATGGAAAATTCCTTATCGAGGTGTAATTAAAGTATAAATATCCAAAGACAAAGCCATTATAAGCTCAATTTTCATGTACTCCAAATTATTATGGGGCTTGATTCCATTAAGTGTTTCCTTAAAAATCCACTTTAATGCCAACCGCGAAACATTAGAATACAAATGCCCAGAACTAGAATTACCCGCCCATTACGAACTTAATAGGCACGGATCAGAGTCATTAGCTAATTCCATAATGTGGCCATTTCCCCTTTTCATCACCCCGAAAAGGTGATTGAAACAAAGGCCTTATGTAAAAGGCAGAAAACCGAAATGCAGGTGTCGCAGAAATGCGTGACTGTTAATTAGCATAAGCCATTAGATAAATGGGAGAGATTCGGGCAGCATCTGTACAATGATCGTCCGGGGGCACCGACTGGGCGGAGATTACGTGAAGGGGCTGCCAGCGTAATGGCAAACATGGGTTAAAGCCAGGTAGTCCAAGTCCAAGCCGCAAAACGCCGACGGTGGCTCGTCACGCTCGTTTAACCTTTCAAGTGCGCAGATCTCGGATCATTTGGGGATAAGGAGGTTAGGGGCTGTATGTTTGTATTTAGCTTCCCAGGTCGGATTGGATCGGCATGACATAAGCGTTTAGACGCAATTTCAACTGTTGAAGCGTACCTTACTTGGGGTTAACTCAACTAAACAATCAAAATACCCATGTACTAGAAAATAGATAAAGCCAACATGCTAAAAACCCTTTATTATTATAACCTTCCAATGAAAAGAAAATTCTATATAATTTCAAAACTTTTTGTAAACCTTTAAAACCATTCAGAGCCACATTAAATTTATTTCTCCCTGTGCACGAAACGTATCTTAGTGACTCCCGAAAAATATATAAAACCGCAGGCGTAATTATGAGCCTCAATAAAACGGGCCGAGAGCAAAGACAATAATGATATAATTGTTTCACTTTGTGCAAATGTTGTGCCCTTTAATGCTTCGAATGCCCTCCGATGTTGGCTTTTAATTCAGTCATCTAATGGCTAAGTTACGATCTGATATAGTAAGTCACTTGTGGCATTCATGGGGCGATGAGTCAGGCTCATTAAAACGTTAATCCCAAAGTGCTCAAGGGTGATGATTTCATTGGGGATATAATCACAGAACACAGAAGCCTAATTACTTAATGCTTAAAATATTTAAACATCTTATTGGACTGATTTCCCTTCAAATTTCAATTTGAATATGTACTACCCTACATTTTTATCAATGAAATAGCCTTGGTATGAAATACCTACAAATAGCTTATCAAGATGCCTAAAATATTCTTTAATGTTATTGTTTATTTATAACATGCATGGCCAAACGATGGAGAGACATATTTAAAAATCTTCAAGTCACTCCAAATCCCGTTTTAAAACATGCCAAAACCGTGTTATAAACACTTCAAATACAACATAAGCCGAACATGTTAAAAATGTTTAAATTCCGATCAATCTTGCTCTTAGCCTTCAAATGGAACTCATTTTTGAATGTCTGAATATATTTGGGGCTCAGTGTCGGCAGCTTGTAAACTGATTATTAACCCCGCAAAAGGAAAAGATTATTTTCTTTGGCACTTCGCCACTGCCACATTGCCACTTTGCCACTTTGCCACTTTTAATTGTCATCGTTAGTTTTTACTTATGTGCTCTTTTTCCCAACGGAAAACCCTTTTGACTTCGACCGCAGCCGGAAGCGGAAACGGCGACCACACACTCCATCGCTAACGAGCCATCGGCACTTGACATTGTACCCAGAGAATTACGATCTCCGACAATTAGGGTTTATTGACAATTGTCAGAAGCCAAAGCAAAAAAAAAAAAATAACACTCAAACAGCCGAGATATCCGAAACTCGATTCGTGTTTGTGTGTATTATTAACACATATCTTTGTGCAATAAATAATAACCTTGCCAAATCGTTTGACTTCGTTTCGCTGCTTGGCAACACAAATAAAGAAAAAAAAAATAACAGCCACAAAAGAGAAGGAGTTGCAGTTTTAGATTTTGATTTTGTTGAGCTTATAAACTTTGCACTTTTATGACTCCCGGTAATTTCTGCCTCCATTTAATCGCCGAATTGGAGCATGGTTAAAAATATATATATTCGCTTGATTCGTTTCTCTATTTGAGAAATCGCCGCACTTAAAAATTAACATAATAAATAGCGCCATAAATATTTAAAGCAAAATAGTTGCTGCAATTTATTATTTTTTTTTTTACCCCTGTTTTTTGTCGATTTGCCACAGGCGTCGATTTGATTTCAGCTCAGCCTCTTAGCGCTTGTTATACAATTGGTTTAGCCTCTAAGGCACAATTCGCTGGAATGGATTGGCCTGGCCCAAACAATGTGCACTCCACTCGACGCACTCTTGGCCATCAGAAGTCCTTCGAGTTAATTTCTGCTAATTGGCGGAGTGAAGAAACAGCCAAAGATACACAGAGATAAAGCTAATCTGCCATCTTCAAAGGCAAACCAGTTCGAGCGATCGTTATTCTTATATGCTAATTCTGCGATCAAATAAAGGCGAGTTAGCTCATAATGAGGCAACATAGAGAATGCAATAGCTGCAGGTTAATTTTATCTTTAAATAATTGCGCTACTGTGAAAATAAATTAAAAACACGCCTTTTGTTCAACAATTCCTTTTTTCCAATTATATATTTTAGCATACTTTAAAATTCCGACGGACAGGCGTTCAAGTTTATTCATTTATTCCTATTGCTATTGCTACATTTGTGAAACGTATAATTCAAACCACTAGTCACTCTGACGTTGATTCAATTTGTAAGACAGATTTTGCAAATGCTCGCCAAGTTAGCAAGTTAAATTAGTGCGATGTCTGTTGGCATTTCAAATTTGTGATAAATATTAATTTGAATAAATAATATTTCCCTTTAAGGAAGCTATCTGTATTTCAAATTGTTTCCAAATTTATTGCTCCAAAAAAGATTAAACAAAATTAATTCCAATTTAATCAGCCACTTGTTGTTAAAATCGCGTTGGAAACATTGTGAAATTGACAGACGTTGGCTTAACTGCCCTCTCAGGATTTTGAGTCCAGACTAATGACCCAATTCGGGCTGCTCTCCCATTTACAATCGCCACTTTGTTTGCGCCAACTCATGGATTTAATTATTTACAGCTCTGTGCAGCGGTTTCTCATTTATTTTTATTTTTCGGCCAATCACTGCGATCAAAGCCAGACAGTCTAAATTTAGGCAACAGCTGCCAGAAGGCCTGATTGATATCCGCCAAGTCACGGCGTTAAAAAGTGGTAAGTAATATTCTTGTTTTCCGACCTCTTTGGGTTTTTCGGTGACACCAAATAAAACCATAAAGTTATTAAACAAAGACCGAAAAAAAACCCTCAGACAACATGATCTTTATCACGTAATGTTTTCTGTTTCTTTTCGCTTTTTATTTTTGGGAAAAAGTCACCTAGGCAGCGCTGATAAATCATGACACCATCGTCGTGGCCTTTCCTTTGCCGCTTTTTCACACCACACCCGCTGGCCCGCTGCCACGCCCCCTCTCCCGCCGACGCCCCGCCCCTTTGAGTAATTTTTAGGTTTTGTTTTTTTTTTTTTTTTTTTTTTTGCGCTAGACCACCACGTTCGGTGTGCCAATCAACTGAAAATGACGGCCAAAACCAAAAGCCGCTTCAGCCACAAAGTTGTTAACATGTTAACTTGGCTTAAATGCATTATGAATTTTTTCGCCTTTCATACCAGACACACACTATTGCATTTCCCTACCGCAATTCGCAAAGTGTTTGAGTGGATAATGCGGAATTTTACGAGCTCATTGCCCGCCGAAAGTCATACATATTTAGGTTTTTGAATATATAGCCATTTGACCGTGATTGTAAAATCCATATTGGCAAAGTTGTTGAGCTGGGAAACGGGTGGATACAGATTGTTTGAAACCGTATCCATAAAATATGAAAACTATTTGCAAAGTATGGCCGAAAAAATAAATGAAATGAAATAAAATTTCTTATTAAGATATCTAACAAGCTGCATCATTAATTAGTTTATTTACGATTTTTTGGTTGATGGATGGATCAGATCCCAGCACTTTTAGTTCCTTTACTTTTCCAATTTTTATCCGATTTACAAATGGCATACCTCTCTGAATTTGTAATTAAAATATCTACCAAGCTGCATCATTAGTTTCGATTTTTTGGTCGATGTTTTCTCATTTTTCATGACCCCTGACCTTTCAAAATTTGCAAAGAATTGATTTGCAAATAAATAGATTTACGATATCAAATAGATCTAGTTTTTAAGTTATACCAAATCTTTGCCATTAAAATTTCCACTTAGTTTTCTGTAGCGCATCTGATATTCTCCTTGCTTTTCGTTTGTGTCTTAATCTAAACCGCCAACTCGCAACCTGACAGCTTCCTTTTCACGTCAAAAATCAAGTTGTCCACTTGCATTTGGGGCACTTTGTATCTCTGATTATTTGAACAGTCGGACAACTACTCGTACTTATTATTAGTAATTGTTTGCAATTAGTCACCGACGGAGGCTGAGAAGCTGAGAGACAAAAAGCGAGACTTTGGCAATCGCTAATTTATGCAAGGCTCGGCATTTTGTTTGGGAACGTGGAACGTGACGATTGATATGACTTCAATCCGGGTCAAAGTCCGGACCGTATATCATCATAACGTCCAGGGTCTCGGCGGCCTTTTGCCGGATTACTCATAAAATCGAAGAATTAAGTCCCTGTAATGGGCCAAAAACGCTGCCAATTAAATCACAGACGAAGAAGCGAAGACCAAAATAAAAAAAAAATAAGAGAAATACGGATGATGGAGCCCATGTCGCACTCCGCACAACCTTGTTATTGTCTATGGGCTGTCATTAAAAGCCAAAGAGCAACAAGCAACAAGCAACAAACATCGAACAATGCCAGTGCGACTCCGGCGATGTCTTTACATTTAATTGCACCATTGGGCACACGGCGAAATGAACTGTCAGTCCTCCCTCCGCTGTTCCCCCAAAAGCCCCCACATCCCCCGGATATCCATCTCCGCCTTCAAGTCGCTCGATTTAAAGCGATGTCAACGTCGCCAGAATTAATTGATGCGCCATGAATTGCCGTTCAATGGCAGGGACGATGGGCCACCGGCACTTGGGCACCGTACTTATGCCATATAGCCGGATTTCACGGCCCCCTTTTTTGGCCCCAAAGCAGGCGGATTAATCGCTCGGGTCTTCAAATTTGATATGGCAACTTGGGGGTTTTGGCAGGAAAATAAAACAGCAAGAAATGCCTTGAGTAATTGTATTAAATGTATTTCTTTTATGGAGCTACACAACCTTATTCCCTAAAAATTCACATTGAGTACTGTTTTAATATTAATACAATAATGAATAATGTTTGCCTTTTAAATTTAGTAATAGTACTCTTTATAACAATCAATAACACGAATTAGAAAACAAAAATTACCACCTTGTATAATATTTCCTTGGATTGAAAGACCCTATCTTAATGCTTGCATCTTAAAGATGAGATCAAAGGCAAATCGCAACCGCCCAAGTAGGCGTGGCATTGGCAAGACAACAACAAGAACGAGACAATGGAGGCTGAGGTCCGGCCATTAAAGCTAATTTCGATGTCATTTTCGATTTGGCAGCTTTTGATTTTGCAAAAGCGAACGACCCAAGCAGCTGAGACTAATTTCATAATTTTCATATGATTTTTTGTTTTTTTTTGTGTTGTTGTTTTGTTTAAAGTTTATGCAAAACATTGTTGCTGTATGTGTGTCAAAATCTAATTCACCTTAAACTGATTTCGAACGCATGCAACTTTAAGTGAGTTTAGTAGTGAGTCTCACTAGTCGACCGACTGACTGATTTTGGCTCTGCCTTTCGTGCTCGCCTGCCTTCGCTTTAGCTTCAGCCTTAGTTTTAGTTTAAGTTTTAGTCTTAGTTGTAGCTTTAGCTATAGCTTTAGCTTTTGCCTTTGCTTTAGCGATTTTCGCTGCCTTTGCTTTTGCAATCGGCAAGATACAGTATCTGGTGCTGTATCAGCTCCAGTTGGATTCGGTACCATGCGGCGTATGCGTAATTTGTAGCCTGCCATGCATGTCTGCCTGCACTTCCACACTTCTGTGCGCCACTTGGTCGTTAACCCAGGGCAGCGCCAACTGAAAATCGAAAACCGAAAACCGCCAACCGCCAACCGGTTACCGGTTATCCTTCAGAGCGGCGACAGTCCGCCGCTGAAGGTAACGCGGTTCCATCGGCTTCGGCGGCCCAGTCAAAAAAATAACCAAAAACAACAAAAAAAATCATATACAAAAAGCCAAATAAAAGAGCGATGCTCGAACCAATAATCAAATCGAAGCGAATCGAATCCAATCGAATCGAGTCGAATCGAGTCGCATTGAACAGATGCTTCCGGTTCACACTGCCACCACAGTGGTCTCTTAACAAAAAATATTATTAGTACCAAGTAATACTAAGTAATACTAGTTTGAACTCATAAAAACTGGTAGAGGAAATTATTTTCTAAATAATTTCCTAAGAGAAAATGAATGCAAAATCATGAATTCATGAGGAGGATTTGAAAGGAAGTATATACAAAACAAAAAAGCAAACTAAAAGAAAAACTAGTGCACCCTTAAATAATTTGAAAAGCCTTCTGTTTATATTAAAAACTGCATGAAATGTATATTTTTATTTTGAGAAAATTGGCTTGTTCATTGCTGATTTTTTCAAGAAACCCTCTTAGCCAGCCTTCACTGTAGCCTAGGCGTTGGAATTCCATTCACTCACGCACTGAAAACTATCAAAAATGTCGTCCACGATGAGCGGCGGCTGCTGTTTCTTCTTCTCGAGAAGGTCGAACTGAGAGTCCGTCTTCGACTTCGTCTGTATTATCATTATCGCCATAATGTTCATCATGATCGATTATCCAAGAACAAGCCATAACTGTCGCTAACCACAGATCGGCGACATTGTCTTGCGGTTGGTCAGTATTCGATTTTTTCCGTTTTTGTATTTTTCTTCGAGCTTTTGTGCTCGACCGAAGGTTTCTGCTTCTGATTATCATCGAGTGGCTTTTGGCCAAAGTGCATGGCCAGCATGACAGGGCGGAAATTTTGTGGGCAACCTTTAAGCCCTGTTAGACCCTCGCAAAACCCCAAACCAAGTCCATAGAACTTTCGAGAAAGAGCAGGTTCAGTGAACTTGTTTTAATTCAAATTGCGTTCAATATTGATGGGATGATAAATTAGTTCTGATGTTCACATGTAGTGTTAAATAAATAGAAATACTTTAAGATTAAAATGTAACCACGTTATTAACAAACAATAAACTAATTATGATGTTCAACGTTTTAATAAACCAAAAACTATTTTCAATTTAATGTCGTTTTTAACAATTAGTACTTTTTCAACCAACTCCAAGTAATAACTTTAAATATTCTGAGTAGTCAGATGTCACGACTTCCATTAACCCCACGACTTTTTGGTAATTTTCATAAATTTTCATTATAAGCCCAACACAAAAGAGGCTGTATTTGCATTTTGGCCAACATTTGGAATGCGGAATGGAAATAGGAATCGAAGTGCAATCAAATGGAATCAAATTGAACTGTCTGATTGTCGATTGTAACGACTGATGGCAAAATGGCAATCGATAAACGCAACGCCAACGATTATTTTGTATCGCAGGAAAGCGGCAGGCAATAGGCAATAATAAAATGCATCTCCGAAATACGAAGCGATGCGCAGCTGCAGGAGGTTGTGTAAGCCAGTACTAAAAATAAAAATGTAAAAATATAAAACGAGCTCTAATCCTGGCCACGGCCCACTGACAAACTGAGCCGCTCTTTGCCAGCCAGCCAGCCAGCTGATGGAGATTGACAAACTGACAAACTGAAGCTGGCAGTCACGAGGCGGAAACTTTTCGCGTAATCGTGTTGTCGAAAAAAAATGGGAAAAATACAGCAACAAAGAAGTAAAAAAAATTAAAAAGAGAAAAAAGCAACAACAGGAGACACTCGTAAAAAATATAAAAAGAAAGAGAAAAGGTAAAGGAAACTGAAAAAGAAAAAGAAAAAGAAAAAGAAACACTAGTTAAAGCCACTCAAAAAGCCTGGTCAAGCTCTCAACTCGAGCGACTCAAGCTTGACTTCGTCGGCTGCTCACTTTCGTTTTCGTTTCGAGCGGAATTTGAGCGGCGAGCGATTGGAGGAGGAGCGGTACTATTGGCACTAGGGGGCGGGGCGGTACGCAGACGGGCGGTACGGTACGGCCGGGCGTTAAAGCGGCGCCGCTGCCGACGCCGAGCGCGCTGCCGACGCTCGCCGCGCGCTTTGTCTCGAGCTTTAGTCGCTTGTGTGTGATAAAATCACGTTAGTAATCAATTGCAGGCCCAACAGCCCAGACCAGAGAAGCAGTCGCAGTCGCACCACCGATCCACGATCCACTGATCCACCGATCCACGCAATTGTTGCTGTTTCTATAAGCCAAAAGAGATACTTTTTTTTGGGCTGTTTACTTTTTGGCAGCCGTACGAAAAAGGCCAAAACGCGTATGTATCCCAACAACAACGTGCTGTGCTTAAATCAAATCAAAAAAAAAAAATAAAATAAAGAAGACAAGAAAACATTACTGTTATCGTTATCGCGAGGATATACAACATAAAACCAACCAGAAACCAAACAAAATAACAAAGAAAAACGGAATGAAAAGCTTAAAAACATTCAACATTTACCTTTCTATTTTTTTCTACATTTTTTTTGCTGTGCTTAACAATTTTCAAGAATTTTTGGTTTGTGAACATAAAGTTGGGAAAACCCAAAAAACGAAAGAAACACCGAAAGAAATTTCCAGAGCCAATACAAAACAGAAAAAGAAAAAATCAAAAATGAAAAATGAAAAAAACCTGACGCGTGTGCTGAACTATTTTCGGTGTTGTCTCATTTCTCATTTGCTGCATTCATTTACCTTGTTTCGATTGCCCAATTAATGCGAGTTGGTTAACACAAAAACGTTTTTGATTGCCAATTTCCAAGTTGCGTTTCGAGAGGTTTCGTGTGCAGTGCTGAAATCGATTCGAGAGGAGAAGAGGGGGTTCGAAGTTGGAACTTTAACTTTGGAGAGAATCTTGCCAAGCCGGTTAAATATTTAGAAATATTTCTTAGAAGCCAAGAAATTAAAGAATTAAATAAGGAGAAAGTAAAATGATTCAAAATTGTATTTTAGAAGTCTTGATAGCTTTTAGAATTTATATAAAATTCTATGGGATTAACAGCCAAACTCACAAATTGCTTAAAAGACATCAGATCAAGCAGAAATTTGTAGAAATTATTTAAAAAGGTAGTCTTATATAGGTTTTCCCAATAAGAACTGCCCTTCACTTTTAGTCACATTCCTTGAACAAATAAAGAAACAACCTATGATTAGAACAGCTTAAAGTTAATACTCCATTAAAAATGTAATCTCCTGAAAAACCTTCAAAATATCAAGTATTCGCACCGTTTCCCCGAATGTAAACTCAACAAGGGCAAGCCATAATTGCAATCTTTGACACAGGAAGTGCACTACTTCAGCCTCTAATACGCCCAGTCTCTTTGCCATAAATTAAATTTCGAAACCCGCCAGAAATCCCATTTAAGCCTTGATTATAGCCGTTGTTTTTTGGGGCTTTGCCTTTTAATTACGACATGTCCATGTCGGAGCATGCACTCAATGCCAGATGCGGATTTTTTATGAGTTTTATGATATTTGTGCAATTGCCAGTGAGTCGTAATCATAAAACCCCAAGTTCCGTATGCAAAACAAAAACAAAAACAAAAACAAAAGTACAAATACAAAACGAAACAACAACAACAACAACAACAGCAGAGTTTAACTCGAATGGTATATGTCAAGTCACGTTGTTAATCACTGATCACTTTTCGGACAATTGTTAGAAGCAAATGGATCAACTGCGAGAGAGCTTGAAAGTAAAAGCAAAAGCCAAAGATGACATAACATCTGGGTAGCTCTGTTGTTGCCGGTTTTTGGCTCTTTCTCTTTCGCTTTTCTGTTGTGGTCGCCTTCGTCGCGTTTTGGCGCTTACGCCCTACTTTGCCAGTTAACAGTCTTCGGGCCAAGTTAAGACTAAGACCTGACCATCAGACATCAGACATCAGCCATCAGCCATCAGCATTGCATGTTTGCCTCGAGGTGGCAATTCCGTACGACTCCCCTTTTCTCTCTCCCCCTTTTTATTTTTGGTATTGCCAAATTGTTTGACTGATTGCTGGATTGACAGCAAAACAAAGCAGCAAAAGCGGTCAAAACAAAAACGGCCCAAAATACACTTTCAAGTTCATTTTTAGCATGCCTCAGCTGAAGAAGATGACTTGACTTTTGGAGTTTCCCCACATTAATTTATGTTTCCTAAATGACAAGACTTTGGCTATTGCAATACTTTTATCACAGTCAAAAAACTATAGTAGTAGTAAAAGTGTAATTTGTATTCAAAGTGTTTTAAAGAGTATAAACGTTCATAGTAAAATTGCGTATAGTTTGAAAACAATATAAGTAGAGATTGTTAGGAAGCAATTGGCTATTTGAAATGTAGATTTCTTTAATTACAAAGTAGTATTGTAAATAACCGCTATTAAATAATACAAAATACTAAACAACTGATTCGGCAATTTAAGGTATGCCAGCTATTTGGCTTTTCACTAGCTGATCTTCAATTGCCAAAGCCTTAACCTTTGAGCCAGCAATGCCATCTCACATTCGTGTCAAAGTCTAATAAGGCAATCAGCGATTCTGATTTGCGGTTTCCTTTACTTTGCACTTAGTATCTCTCATTAAATTCCGAATGACTCATAATTTTGCAAATTTGTTGACCAAAGAAATTATCCCTATCTCTTTCGCTCTTTCTCTTCAATTAGAGCTCCGTCTTTAGTTTGTTTGCAATGCATTTTCTCACATTTTTGTGTATAATTACGGATCATGCCTTGCTTTTCGCACCTGTCGGCTTCTCTTTTTCACTGGGCCTTATTCAATTTCTTTTAAACAAAATCCCAGCTTTAAAAAGCTTTTGGCCATAGAAATTGCATAAAAAAAGCGAGTCAGCCAGGCAAACAAATACAACTTGTTGCTGGCCAAATATAAAAAAGTGAAAAAAAAAAATTACATAATTTTTGTTGTGATTTATAAATTGCTGCCGTTGCAGCATACTGCTGGCATTACTCATACGACGAGTTGCCCAAGAAATGTCCAATATTTAAACTTGACCAAACCGCCACCATAGTTGGCCATTGGCCATCGGCTATTGACAGTTATTGTTAGCATCCGCATCGTTTTTCGAAGACCTTGGCCAGAGAATAGCCACCAAACCAAACAAATCGGTTGGAAAACAAAATTAACAAAACCACAGACTCGAAATCAAACATGATTTTATCATCGAATTTTTTGGCTTTAATTCCGTTTTTCTTTTCAATTTATTTTTTTTTTTTTTTTTGGTGTGAAAAGCCAGCGCGCGATAAGAAGAGAAGGTCACCGCCTGTTGACCTTTGTGGATGTCTCCGTCTTTGTCTCTGCATTATCATTAATTAGCATGCCCTCTCGTTTCAGCGCACCCACACCCACACACGCCCAGTCCCGCTCACACACACACACCACACACACTCGAAACAGAGACAACATGAGGCAGCCAAGTAGACAGCAGATCCTGGCGCTCGTCCTCTGCAGCGCCGTCTGCCTCATCAGCGCCGTACCGCTTCCGCAGCCCGCCGGCAACCAGGAGCTGGACGTCCTGCAGATTCCGCTGGCAAATGGCAAGGTGAGCTAACAAATATTCTGGATCTCTAAAAGCATAATCCTAACCCTAAAGGGTTCAAAAAAATTCTAAACGCCTTTGTAGCCTCACAATCAGAACTGATTAAAAAAAAGATTCTAATATTTTAAAGGCATATTTAGCTTATATTTTGTGGGTATTAACTGATTTAGGATAATAAGTAGGTCTCAGAAATATTTTAATTTATGCTTATCAATTTAAATTTTACATGCATCTTTAAAAATTTAATTTAATTTAAGATTCTAATATTTTAAAGGCATATTTTGCTTATATTTTGTGGATATCAACTGATTTAGAATACTAAGTAGGTCTCAAAAATATATTTTCATTTATGCTTATCAAATTAAATTTAAAAATTTATTTTCCCATTAACGTAAACCTTAATTATAATTCCTAAGAGAGCTATCAAATTACATAAAGAAGCCTTAATACAAAGCAAATATTTACTTGGCCGACAGTATCAAGATAATGATAAAATAGCCGAAAGTCAAACAAGCGAGTGTGTAAAGCAAATATTATTTAAAGCTTTCATAGACTTTTCTCAGACTGGGGTGGTTCGAAAACAAGTTGAGAGGTTGTTTTACTACCACTATTATTTAAGACATGAAATTGTAGGGGGTAAAACTCACTAGTAACTAGCATTATGACAAGGCTGTAAAAGACAAAAAAAAAAAAAAAAAACAATTTGTGCCCATAAAACGCTGCCTAATTGGCTTGTCTAAGTGGGCAACTTTGTGGAACTCTTTGACCGACCCTCGTTCACATTCGGTTGGCACAGAGTAGCGCGTGCTGCTGCCTCCGTTGCCCTTTCGACCATATTTGCTTGACAAATTTGCACTTGGATTGGGTTCGCTTTACGGAAGGAAGGGGCAGGGAAGGTAGCGGCCAAACATGTTGGCCAGACGGCGAAAACTTCCTTTTACTTTTCGGAATAAGTTTTGGTTTTGTTTTTGGCTTTTGGTTGTTGCTCTTGCAGTGTTCAGTGTTCGGTTATCGGCTGGTTGTTTTTTCTGTCCAATTCGGGTCTCGGGGTCTCTGGGCCCGTCGAACCTGCGTGACTGGATCAGAGCTCCAAACACTCGAAGAGCGGACCAGTTCCAAGGAAGTTGGCACACTTGGTACCTGTTTCCTTAGCTGCCGTATGTGTGAGGTTTTTTTTTTGATTTTTCTGATTTTTTGGCCTCAGTTGGGTGTTGGCCTGGTCGAATAAAAAACAAAACCGGACTCTTCGAGTTGAGCAAGCGTCTGCAACTCTGTTATTTTATTACTTAATTGCCGAGCGAGACAGTTCCCCACAATTCCCATTCGAAGTCCCCTATTCCCACTCCCATTCCCATTCGATCATCGGACGGGGAGATCATTGTATCACTGTGCCGGCAATTAGCACCCCGGACACCCAGCCCCCTGCTAATTTGTTAGCCAAAACTATTCGCCCAGAGAGCGCTGGCCAGTTTTTAGCATTGTTTTATGTCGTTTTATGGCTTTCACTTTGTGCAACAAATTTGCACAAATCACCGAAATCTCAAACCAGCCTGAAGGCTGTGCAACAACATTAACAAAAAAATCAACGGCGTAACATTTGTCAATCAAAATGGCATGCCAAAGTTTTTTTTAATCGTGTGAAAATCTTTTTTTAAAATACTGAAGTATTTGCACGGTAAGAAGTTATTAAAGGTTTTTTTTCTAATATTTTTACAAAGCTGTCAAATAGAACACAACGTTTCCAAGAATTTTTGAAACCTATTACTTAGGTTGTAAACTTAAAGAAGGAAGAAGTTAACCATTTTAGTACCGACAATATATTAAGCTGACAGGATTTAATAAAAATTTGATAGTTTGCTTAAAACCACCCATCAACTACCCATCTTTATTACTAAGACCCCTTTCAACTGTGTCAAACATTTTTGATTTAGAGCCAACAACTTGCAACTTGCCGCAGATTATTGAGAAACTTTAAACTATGATATCATAATACATATTTTAAAGACCTGCACCCACGCCTTTAACAATAACATCTTTGCACATCTGCTGAAAGGCCGAAAAAATTATTTCAACCTAAAAGCAAATGTTACACAAAACGATGGGCATTTGTTGTTGCCCAATTTGGGTTTGTGGTTGAGAGCGAAAACTGGGTCAAAATTTAGCCCACAAAACGCTGATACGTTAATGAAGTCCGATATGTATATATACTTATGTACACATATATATATTTACGTATATAGTTCACTCATAGTCGGAGTTTCCCCGGAGCCAAGCTGATGTTCATCTCGACGTGTTGACATGCCTTGCGCCATAAATCATTTAACGAGACGATGACAATGGCGATTGAACTAGCTGACGGCAAAGGAGTTGGGGGTAAAAAATCGGAGAATCGGAGAAAAATCGTAGAAAAATATAAATAAGCAGAGCTGCGGACAATTTTCTTAGCGATGTCAACGACAATGATATCTCCATTGTTGCCACTTTACTTGTATTTTCCTTTTTGTTATTTTTGCTATTTTTGCTATTTGCTTGCCGCTTTCTGTCGATTCGATTCGGTTCGATTCGTTCGTTTGCTCGCTCTGGCTTCCTTGGCACCCAGCACGTGGCAAAAGTGATATAACAACAATCGGAGGAAACGGAGGGGACTGCCAAATAGCTCCACTCTATCAGAAGTCCATGGCATTTTGATCCATTGGTCTGCAATTACGGGAATTGCTGTTCGGGGGGCTATTTATTAATAGCTACTGCTGAAATGAATGCTTCCTTATGAGTGGCGTTTTTAATAAAATTTGATACCCAATAACACACATTTATTTTTCCCAAATGGCTTTGCGTTAACATCCTTTCAAATTAAAGTTTATATTCTATTTATTTACTACTTTTTATTCCCTCTTTTATATTTCATTTTATTTTCATGAGCTTAGCTCCACCCAGCTTGAGTAAATATTTTTGATTCCTTGCCAAGTGCAGGTCTATATACTACCTTGTGTGAGGCTTCCCGCTTGTGTAACCGGTGGCTCCAGCACCACCACTACACCACCACTGCACCACCCTGCACCAAAACAACAACAACGACAACAACGAAGAAAAAAAAACTTCCCTTCTTCGCGCTCTTGTACACATATCACGCATACGCCGCATTGTGCGACAAGTAAAACGTCAATCGCGATTCGCTGTTGTTGCTGTTGGCAATTTGTTGGTAGCTGCATTTTTGTTAAGTGGCAAACGAGACGCGCTTGCCTTGTCTGTCATGTCAGTCGGATGGAAACCAAAGACAATTTATACAGCAGGGAGTCGAGTAGTCGTCCAACTTGCAGTCTGTTTCTCTGTCTCTTTGGGAAAATGAAATCGCACCAAAGATATTCATGTTGTCTTGGTCGATTAGCCACTGCTTGAGAATAATTAAGGCCCGTACATTATCCAATAGGCTTGCGGTTAAATTGATTTATTCATTTTCGAATTCCAGTTTCGCCCATTTTTCAATTTAATTTAATTGTGTCGCGTATTTTTATTAGCCGCCGAACAAGGCCTCAATGTTCGGCCGGTCAGTGGCTAAAAGGCTTTGCTTTTGCCTTTGCCTTTGCCCCGCGTGGATTAGCAATGGGCGTGGTCCGGTGTATCTGTTTTGATAGCAAAAACATATATACCATATATCCACTGCGGTCATGACACGCACTGTCGATGAGGTCGCATTCGCAATTAAAGTGGAATTTCAATTTGTTTTTATGGAATGTTGGGGCTACAATCCAATCTAAATGCTCTATCAAATTTGGTTTTATTATGACTTAAGCTATAAATATATTTATATTTAAACAAATAACTTGGGATTAAAAAAATTATCTGGTCTAAAAACTGACCTATAAAATATCAAACCTTTTTGAATAAAATGTGTTGGCCATTATCCAACATTAATGCTATCGAAATGTCATTTTAGTCACTGAATAAAATATCCACATATATAAAATAATATTGTATATACCAGTTTGCATTGTTAATTTATGCGCAATCTGTGAGTTATCGAATCTAGTTTTTTGTCTGGGGGTTTTACACTCGTATCTCCAGCAGTAATTTGTGACATTTTTATTGATTCGAGAGTCGGATAAAGTTGGTTAAGGTCAAGGCAATTGATATGGCCAGGTATTTTAAAAGCGTTTTCGACTTTTGGTATCTTCTCTGATTCTTTCTGTTTTTATGATTTTTTATGTGGCGAACTTGCCAATCGATTAGCGTTTCGATTCTATATAAGCGGCGTCTTCCGCCTTGGCATACGCTAAACATGAAAATGAAAATGAAATTCCCAACATACTGCAGACTGCTTAAAATTCACAGCATTCGCTTTAATGACGTTTGCCACGAGGCAGCTTCTGGGCTTGAACTCATTTGAAATTCATTAAGATGTCCCATAAAAACGTAACTTTTGCCTTAAGTAGTTTCTGCCCCCCACAAAACTCCCCCTTTCCCTCCCCCTTCTGCCTTTCTGCCATTCTGCCAGTCTCCGCCCCCCTGGGCAATATCCAAACAATTGTCGCACTAAACTGACACTGACAGACAGCTTAAAATATGATGAATACTTCACAGGGAGTGAGGGAGGAGAGGGGTGGCGGGTGAGCGGGTGAGCGGGGGAACTGAGAGTTGGCAACAGTTTGTTGGCCAAACTAGCAAAAGTTTATTTTATGCTCCTCATCATCATAATCATGGCCATCATAATCACCGTCGCTGCTGCTGACTTCCGCCCGCGTGTAAAAGTCAACTTCCGCACTGACTTTTGAGTCAATTAAACACTGCAACAGCAGCAACATCCACTCCTCGGAGGAGTAAATATATTTATATATAAATATATACGGTCAGGGGATCCCGATCCCATTCCGCTTCGAATTTCAAGTCTCTTTCGCCTTTAAGTAGCATTCCGAAAGTTAACCGGCTGAGAAACGTGACCATTTTATGGGAATACCCTGCCAAATTCCAAATTCCTATGGTTCGGTAATGAGATTAAGTGGCTAAGATGTATTTCCATCGAAATGCCAACAAAGGCGAACCCATACAAAAGCCATTAACAATTGGCGTAATATGCTAAATAAAAACAATGGTAGAATATAGACAATTGGCTCATTAACCGTAGCTATTGTATACCTATGATATATTGCGAAATATGGGATATAGTTGACAAGGTGGAGTCATCGAACACAATGGATAATAGATAGATCTGCTGAATAAATATTTCATAATTCAACCTTGCACAGAATGCATCCTTTTCATATTTTTCGAAAAAGGCAATGTTATATTCAGTTTAATTAGCATTTTCTCAGTGACTTTCGTGGCGATTAAGAGTATTAAAACTTCAAGTGCCACGGACTACATTGTCCAATATTGAAATGGTTGCCAGGCTCAACCTCTTTTCGTTGTCGACGAGCGGAAGAAACTTTTCCAATTGTTAAAGTGTTGATGCTTTATTATTAGATTGTGCTGCTGGAGCTGCTTTTGAGCTGCTCGGAATCCCTTGCACCTGGTGGCACCTTGACAATTGTTGCAACTAAGAAGTTGCTGTTGCCGTTGCCGTTGACTTTGCTGCTTAGTGACTCGTGCTGTTGATTGTCGAAAAGTTAGCTGCTGCCCCCATTCATCCACCGCCCACAAAATGCAATTTTAATGCAATTTGAAAATTTATTGTGCAATATTTTCTTAGCTTAGACAGCTTATTGCTTTTGTTGTTGTGCAGTTGGCAATTGCCCATTAACGTTAACAACTTTTTGCAAAGTCATTTGGGCTTTCTGGGCCTGGTCTTCGTTTTTCTTCTGTTTTTTTTTTCTTTGGCCTGCTGGCTCCTTGGCACTTGGGCGAAAGGAAGCTGCACCACCACCCACCAACCCACCAACACTGAACTGCAACCACTGCACCACCCACTGAGTTTAACTAAATATAAAGCAAGGGGCCACTTAATGTAGTGCTATAGTTATAGAAGATCTCGTAACCACTGATTTACACTTGAAACATGGTTATACAAATTCCAGTGGCGCCTCGAAGGGGATTTAGTAGAGGGAAGGGGAGGGGGAGGGGGAGCTGCTAGGTTCAAGGGGCGCCACTGGCAACTCATTGTCTAAAGTGAAAGTTTTGTCGATTTGCGGGCACTTTGGGGTCTTTTGTTTTCTTTCGCTCGGCATCTACTTTTCGCTTTTGGCTGCTGCCACCTCATCTTCTCCGGTGTTTCACTGCCAGATTATGCAACAGATGTACGAAATTATATAGGTATTATTGTTTACCTCGACCGCAGAAAGAGTAATTCACACTTGAAACCAGTCATTCCCAACCTGAAAGTCAACTCGGTGGTAAATGGCTAAGGTCACGAAGAAAGGCTTTTGTTGCCGCCAAATTCTTTTTCTTAGATCAAGATAATTAAATGGAATTTAAAAGCTTATAAAAATAAATTTATAAAATATAATTATGATCTAATATAATCATTAATTTTTGTATATTCTTTTACAGGAAATCGATGTCTTGACATTGGGTGCCAAAGACCAAGAAACATTGATAGCCGATCGCAATAAGCGAACAATTGGACTGTTGCGCGAGCTCTTCCCCGACATCACCAAGGTAAGAATCATATAAGATATATATATTGGATATACATGAACCATTAGCCGTCCCCACCGAAGCCCCTCTGTCTCCGAAATGCCAGCCAATCCATATATAATGCTATATAACAATCCACTCAGACACTTTTAGCCCAGGGTTTTAGGCCCCTCCCAGAAAAAAAAAAAAAAAAAAAAAAAAACAAAAGAAAACCCAATATACCCCTCTCTAAATGAAAGTGTATTGAACTTGGCGCCACGCGAAATGTTTTCCTCACATAGGAGATCAATGTGCAGATCAATCGTCTAGTGAATAATGTGTTGCAACGCGTTGGTCCCGTGGTTCTGGGCACCATTCTAAATCCGGCCTTCGATCGGGGTCTCCATCCCCGGCAGCCAGCCAAAGAGGACGATAATAGTGGCGATGATGGCAAGGATACGGATTACGAACAACTTCCCGAGGACCTAACCCAATTTCAGCCCGATGTCGAATTCGCAAAGGAGCGCTAAAACTTTGCAGACACAAAGAAATTAATATCCTTATAGCCTAATCCTTATAGCCCAAGGCTTTTACCCCCCAAACAAGATATATTATTGGCTTGGTCCCCTCCTCTCCTTGGAAATGTGTACCTCCGAATGTTGCATGTTTTTCTTAAGGCTTAGCTAAAATGAGCACTCAACCACCCAACCACCAACCAACCACTTCCTGAACTCAGCATGCCAGCACCGCCCAGTAGCAGAGGTTGAACCACCACCTACCACCGCCACAACCACAGACTCACACAATGACACAAACATATAGACACACACTCTACAAAACGAAGAATAATTCTACACCCACAGTTGGGTTTTCAGCCTGCAAAATAGATCTATCGTTTCATCCCCAACAATTGGCCAAGATCATCAAGAACAGTCAGCAATCGACCAAATCGAACTGCAAATCAGCTACTGCATCAGCATCTCATGTGGAAAGCACCACCAAAAAAAATAGAAGAATTTCATTTACCCAGTTAAAAAAAAAAAAAAAAAAACAAACCACATATTTTCTGTTGATCTTTCGCTGATCTCTCGCTAGGAAATCGACTCGATAGTCAATCGCATTATAGCCCAGGTGATTCGGGTGGCCGGTCCTGGTGTTCTGAATAGTATTTTGGCCGGAAATCGCGGTGGTGCGGGTGGTGCAGTCGGTGGCAGTACGACGCCGGCCTCCGATTTCGATGCCGATTTCGATGCGGACTTCGATGACGATGACGATGTGGCGCCATCGAGCAGTCCGGCAACGAGGAGTGCCGAGAGTGCACCACCAGCACCATCGAGTAGTAGTGCCAACGAGGTGGAAGAAAGCCGGCGGGTGAAGATCGATCTGCCCACATTTGCACCACAAACTGGAGGAACAGCAGCAGCAGAGGCAGCAGCAGCAGCATCGAAAGGTGAAGAAAGCCCAAACAATAAAGCATCTTCATCCCCAACCACCACCACCACCACCACAACCACCACCTCGACCAGTAATCCAACAACAACAACAAGAACAACCACCTTAAGTACAACTAGCACCACTAGCACGCCAGTGGAGGACCTGGTGCAGTTGTTGCCGCGATCTTTTGTGCCAGCGACAACCGCAACAACAACTTTGCCAGCGACAACTAGAGCAACAACAACCACTACTACTACTAGCACCTCTTCCAGCACCACTGATTTAACTGATTTAACCCCACCAACAGAACCTACCACCACCAACATCCTGTTCCCCACCAACAATAGCATCGATGAACCACAATTGCTAACCATCATAGCCGATATCAATCGTTTATTAAATTCTACCAATTATTTTATTACAACCAGAGATAATCTAACATCAACAACAACAACCACAACAACAAAGGCCACAACAATTGACAACAACAACATTACGAAATTATTGCCCGTCTTTGATTGAGCACTGAAAATACAACAAACAAACAAAAAAAAAACAAATATTAAAGGCAAATAAGGATTTGAAAGCAACAACAACCACAACAACAACATCAAGAACAACAACAGCCACCAGAACAACAACATGAAGATGAAGATGGAGAAGAAGAGAGCATCAGCAACATCATTTAGAAAATGCATTTTCGATTTCGTTTAGAAGCCTTCGCTCATCGTTTAACCATTGGAGATAAAAACTCCGAACCAAAACATTTCAAAAGTGGTTCGAAAAGTTGTTTAGAAAATGATCTTTACAAAATTTAAATCTTACATTTCTTAAGACGGTTTTAAACTGGATGCTTCTTTCGTATTGAAAATGGTCGTTAAAAATCCGGTGCTTGTTTAGACATTCTTACACTCCTTGTACTGAACCACTTTCGAACCACTTTGAACCCCCTCGAAACCACCAACCTCACTGTACCATTGTATTTGCTGTAGAACTCACCCTTTGAACCGCTCCGCACTTGTATAAAAACCCCATTGTATATTCTTGATATCAAGCTCCTCCAATTCCCTTGACCAAGTCCCCGAAAAACACCACACGCATTGTATGTAACCGAAATTGAAACACTGCAGTTAACTAATCTACCTTCCCTCCTCGACTCCCCTCCAAAAACCTATTGCACCTGCACCACCGAATCCAAATTTCGTACTCGTACCACACACTTCGATTCGCGGTTGTTGTAGCAAATCGACGATCAGGCGAACCGCATTATCTCGAAGCTCCTGAGAACTTTGGGACCCACGGTTTTGCGTACCGCCATTCAGGGCAATAGTGCAAATGCGGCAAGGACCAGTTTCGATGCTGATTTCGATGATGACGACGATGAGAGCTCCAAGAGCAGCAGCAGCAGCAGTGGCACCACCACTTCCAGCAGTGACAGTGGCACCCGTGTGACCATCGAACTTCCCACCTTCGAGCCCGATGATGATAACGAGATCGATGCGGAGAAGAACAGCACCAGCACAAGCACTTCAACCACCGAGTCCACCTAAAGTGCGTTTCGTTTGCTACAAGAACTGTGAGATACTCGCAAAAAAGACACAGAGAAAAGAAGATCGCACAGGGAAGATTTTTTCATATAAATAAAGAATGCAATATTACCATTTTGTATGAAAAAGTTTTACGGTGATGCTACAAAAATCTCAGACACTTTAACGAAAGATTTAAAGTCTTCCGAGATCTGAGCATTTTTCTCTGTGAAAAAGTACTTTTGAATTGGCTTTTAAAATTGGTTTCTCTCTTCCTCAAAATTTTTCTCGCGCAGCACAACAACAACCACCCAACCACCCTCTACAGATAATTGAAATAAAAGAAAGGAAAATTAAAAAATGAAAGTGAAGTTCTCTTTGAATTGGCATTGTTAACCAACACTTGATTTGAAATTACCTTTAGCACACTGGTTTTCAGCACACATACACTCTCACTAGCCTTCTCTTTCTGTCTCTTGTTTTCACTCCTCCAGCCGCTGTTCTCCTCTCTTTTCCTCCTTTTCACTTTCTCCTTGTCTTCCCCTCTAAGCCATCTTCTTTTCGAACTCCTTCTCCTTAACTATTCATTTCTCTGTCCAAGTCTTTCCTGCTCCCTCATGCGCACCCTCATTCCACTTAGGTTAGTAGGTGTTTTTTACAAAATAAAATTATATATTTTACATTTATATTGTATTAGTTGTTTAAGCCATTTTTTAATACATTTCCAAATATACCGAAATAACTTGTATCCACTTGTGATTTTTTGCTTAAACCTTTTTAGTGATTTCATAACATAATGCTTGGCGTCTAAAAGTAGAAGGTGTTTTCCCACTTTGTAAATAGCACGTTAACTATTTTTTTAATTTATCTGAAATTGTTTCGAAAGCCTTCGAAATTCATACATACTTTTGGTGCCCAGACAAACTGAAAAAAACCCGTGTAAAAAGAACCCATTATGCTCATAAGTTTCTCTTGGAACGAAGGTGAATTGTGGGTTTGGTTTCACACCACAGCACTCGTCTGAACACTCACCACACTCACGAGTGCATTTACATATCCAACTATCTGCTCTCATCCCCAGAAATATTCGATATTCAGTGTTCATTTCCGCACTCATTTTCGCCGTCTTCGTTTTTCCGCCCGCCGCAAAATAAAGAAACAAAAACAAAAGAGTTGACAAGGATTTATTATTCATTTTTTGCTCGCCGAAAGAGAGATTTATATGCCACCTAACCAGAACAAAAAGATAGACTTAAACGCTTGAAAAAATACAGAACGAAGCGTAATCAATAGTCGATAACCGATGTCTGAAAAAAGTGGATTTCTAGACTAGGCGCTCCTCTCTATCTCTTTCTATCTGTGCTGTCTTCCTCCTTTTGTTTTTCTCTTTTGCTTATTTTTGTATCTTTTTCTCTTTATTTTCATGTTCCATTAAAACCCGATTCGATTGTGCAATGCAAATAACTCACCACCAAAACAATCAAATCAACCAAAAAAAATTACGAACAACGCTCCACCGAAAACTGATAACCGATAACTGATAACTATAACGATAACTGACAACCGCAAATGTATACACAAATACATCGAACGCATTTGTGCACGTATTCGATAACTGCCCATCAATCAATCGATCGATTTCGACACCACAATCGACAATAAAAATCGCCTGTGCAAATTATCGAACAAAACCACCTAACCTCTCTGTCTCCACCTAACCTCACATTCACCCTAACCTCACAAAAAAACGATGACATAACCTCACTTGTGTTGAACTCACCACACCCGAACACACTGGAAACAAAAACTGAAACGAAACACATACGAAACCCACACGAAAACCACTTTTGAACACAAACACATTACACGTCGCCGAATCCTACGCTTTGCCTTTCCCCCACTCCTCGTCCTTGGGCGTATTTTACCCACCCCCTTTAAACCCCCAACATTCCTCTCCATCCCTACTTCCTCCCTACACGCACATAATCAACGCCAAAATTCGAAATTTCTAAACCAATACCCACAAACAACAAAAAAAAACCCAATGCAACAAATGCCCTATCAAAAAAATGCAAAAACCTATGACAAAAAACCCGAAAATACCCGAACCCCATAAAGAATGGAGCCACCGATACCCAGATCGACCTGTCGGCCATCAACAAGCAATTGGAGGAAACGATCCGAGTGGCGCGTCAAGTGAAGGAGGCGGAAGCAGCAGCCGCCGCCGTCGCCGCCCAGTCCCTGTCCCCATCCCCAGCCGCCGCATCCGCCTCCTCGCCGGTTGCCCAGGCGCCGATTCCCCTGAAATCCAACGAACCCATCCAGCTGAGCTTCAACAACGAACTGCCCAGTGTTGCGACCTCCAACACTGTAGATGTCAAGGCCCTGAGCACCAATGACCTGCAGCTGTCCGAGTCCAAGTCGCCGGCGATCGATGAACTGACCCTTGACTCCGCGGAAGAGACCGCCGACTTGGACGATCGCAACAAGAGGTAAGAGAGGAATTTTCAATGCCCCATAACACCTAATTGCATGGTTATACCAATCATTTTATATACATTTTCATTATAGAACATGTTTTTACACTTTAACATTATAGCTATAGTGTAATATAGTATTCAAAGAAACCCAAACGCTCATCTAATCGTACACTTTCCTTCCCTTTTCACCCTTACAACAATTCAACAACAATTGTACAACAAATCCATCACAAATTGGAAATGTTTAACAAACAACAAAAAACAAATAACATAATTAAAACCAAAACAAATGAAAATTAAATAAACTTTCAACAATTAATTAACTCAAATAAATCAACAACATTTTAAACCAACCGAATTCGAATGGAATCCAATCAACAACTATATCAAAATTGAACAACATTTGAATACACTCAACAATCGCCCAACAATTCACATAAATCGAATCGAAATTCGACATAAAATCAACTACTTGATTGGAATGGAAATTACCAATAGTAATCTGTTCAAAAGGTTCCTCAGCTTCGGCGGTGCGGGTCTGGCCGGTGGCTCCAGCGGCGGTGGTGCTGGCGGCGCTGCCAGTGGGAATGCCCTTGGAGCCGGCGGCTCTGGGAACTTCCTGCTGGACGTGGTTAGGGTAAGTACAATCCACTAGCTCTATTTCTTTTACTGGTTGTGTAATTTGCAATTGTTCTCCCTGCAACAAACAGCTCTTCTCGGGCAGCGTTCAGACCCAGCAGGGCGATGAGGCGGCCAACTCGGTGGGCGGCAGTGCCAGCAGCAGCAGCAGCAGCGGCAGCTTGGGCGGCGAAGGAGATGCGGAAGGCGACAGCACCCGCAACGCCGACGGCTACACCGAGGGCATTCCCGGCCCAGTGACGCGCCTCGTCGTGCTGGCCAATCGCGGTCTGGCCAACTTGGTCCAGGACTTGATACTGGTAAGTGTCGAATTTTGATAGAGGGTATAATATTCCCCTAATATTTTTTATAAATGTCAAACTAATACCTTTGAAAAAGTCTCCTGATTGATTTGAATATAATAATCTTATTGGAAAAAGATTTTAATCAGCTGTTTGATTTGAAGTAGAATAGATAACTTATAAAGACAAGTCCCTAACCCATCTTCATTTCTTTCTTTTTCCAGCGCGTTGCGGCCACCAGCGAGAAGTTCGTGAACTTCAAGGCCAAGCTGATAACGGCGCTGATCTAAGGTCATAGGTCAGCACCGGCCACGCCCTCGCCCGAATTAGTCAAGTCACCAACCTGTACAGAGTCAAATGCAGCAGATCACCCACTCTATCTCGCTCCCCCACGTCTGTCTCTATCTCTCTCTGTCTCCCCCCAAAAGTCCCAAGCCCGCCCTCACACCCACACCCACAAACACACACACTCCACATATGCCCAATCACTCACACGGAGACAATTTTGTTGTGCATCATTCGATCAAAGAAATTTCCCGGCAATGTCAACATTTTTTTTTAATTTTTTAGCCAATTTTTTTATAATAAAAACGGAATTAGTTCAAAGTAACTAAACAAAAAAATCATAAAATTGTAAGCAAAATTAACAAAAAAAAAACACATATCAAAGAATTTTATTTATATACCAATAAATCAAAAATATCAACCCAAAATATGAAAACAACATTTAAATGTTATGTATAGAAGAAGAAGAAACGCCTGATACAATTATTCCTGCCCAAGCGCTATATCTTCCCATCCCGACTAACCAACTTATTCTGTTTTCCATCAGCTTTTGTAAATATTTTGCTATTTGCAAATTTTCTCACCACTTTTCCTGATATTTTTCTTTAATTTCCTTTTTCTCCCCCTTTTTTGTGTATATTTTGTGTTCTATTAAAAAAAATCATGACTGTGGTGTTTTATTTACTATTATTTTTAATTATTTTAAACGAAAACGAAATGAAGAAGATGATGATGAATGCGATGAAGACGACGAAAACACGTCAAGTTTCTATTAGAAGAAATGTAGCCGAGCTTAATGTTTTTTAATTTGCTGTTGTTGGTCAAAGAGTCCCGAAACACCCACACACAAACACGCACATTCACTGAAGCATACTCAATATATAAACCGATTCGATATGCCTACTATATATATATATCAGTTATACATCAGTTCTTGTTCGACTTCCCTATCTCCCCTGGATTTGTTTGTAACTCCCCCTAAACCTAAGTGAATTGTGTTCTTTCTCACTATGATTTTTTTCTAGCCTAGCTAAGTGAAACTTTCGAAAAATGTGTATAAAATAAAAGTAAAATGATGTTAAATATATTGAGTTTATTATTTGTTTTATTTGTAATTATTATGGTAATGCAATAATGAAGCGACCATCATTAAAATAAGAATGTACCTACATATTTCCAGCAACTAATTTAATTAGCGGCGAAATAAAATGCATTTTATTTGCATCATAAATTGCTTGATATCGAAAATTACTCAATAGCGCGCCAACCAGGTTTTATATTCGAACAATTAAACTACTGGAAGTGATTGCAAAATATTCCAAAATGAATACCCATCGAGAAAAATGTTTTTGGGTAATTAAAAAGCGTTTGCAAATATTTGTACAATTTCGCAGCGAGTTGGTTCGTTGCTCACCCTCTCGCGCTTCTCGATTCTCGTTTATAAATATCTGGATTATCCATCTCGGCACATTCCGCCACAAAATTGCGTTGCTCGAGTGAGCAACTGAGTAAATGACTGAATGACTGACTAACTGACTGAATGACTGAATGACTAACTGACTGACTGAATTGCTGTAACGCATGCGTGGCATGTGGTGTGGTCCAAAGAAACCTAAAAAAAATATAAAGATGAAAAGGGAAAGGGGAAGGGGAAGGAAAAGGGGAAGGAAAAGGGAAAGGGAAGGGAAAAGTGGAAGGTCAGGGACGAGGCTTAGGAGGACTAAGTGCCACTTCCGTTTTCCACAAACAAACAAACAAATTGGCCCAACCAACAGCCGATGGACAAATGGAGATGGATATGGATATAGATATGCTACTTATCCTCGGATCGCCGGCCACTTGATGCACAATTAGCGGCGCACAAGAGCTGAGCATTCTCCGGTTGTTTTGACAAGTGCACACATTTAGCGGAGGAAACGCTCTCGTTATTGTTTCCCATCTTCACGCACAATTTGTCGTCACTAGCCGATGACTTAATTCATTTAGCAGAACAACAGAGAAATGCGAAGGCGGGGTTATATGCCCATGGATGCGGATATAGTCGGGGAATCGGGCAGAGAATCGGCTCAGTTGCTCGCCAATCGCCGCGGCCAACGGATGGCGGTCTCATCATCCTCGTCGTCGACGGCCAACTATTTGATGGCGGTCCTCGCCCAGGATAGCAACAGTAGCAATAGTGGCAGTGCCAGTGGAAGTGCAAGTGGTTGCAGTGGTGCTGCCGCCGATTCCGAGGACTCGCAAATCGGACACGAGGCGAATCCAGCGAACCGGGGAAATCAGGGGGGAGCAGAAGGCGACCGCCGCGCCAGAAGATCAACGCCAGGGAGCGGTATAGAACCTTTAAGTGAGACTTGCTTGCAATTCAATAAAAATATTTCGTAAACAAATACGATTTTCAAAGCATACTCTTCAATTGGTTTTGAAAAAATAATAGATTTCTTTAAAACAAAGAAATACAAAATAATTTAATGAATGATCATTTTTAAATGAACATATTGACAAATTTATTATTTAGTTTTTATATATTATATAATAATATACTTTCTGTATTTAAAAAACAGTGTAAATTCCGCCTACGAAGTGTTAAGGAATCTCATACCCACGGAACCCATGAATCGAAAGCTGTCCAAAATCGAGATTATACGCCTGGCCAGCAGCTATATAACCCACCTCAGTAGTACTCTGGAAACAGGTTAGTTTTAAAACACAAAACTTATTCGAATTAAATTAAATAAAATTGTTTATCCAAAGGAACCGAATGTCAGCCCTGTTTGCTGCACAAATACGATAATGACGGCCTCGCAAGGCGAATCAGTATTTGCACATTTTGCCTCAAAACCAAATGAAATAGCTTAGACGCCAAATATTTTGTTATATTAAGAAAGTTCCATTTGTCGTATCTATTGCATTTAGATTATTGTTTAAAAAAAACCATTTAAAATGAGCGCTCAATGCAGCGCCATCTGTGGAAGCTAGGAGAAACTAAATGCCGGAAAGAGTCAACTGCTTGAACTGCTTTCCTCTTTTTGATTATTATTTCGATCTCTTATATATTAAATGAAATAAAAAATATATATTATAAAAACATAAATGTTCAAATATTTCTATTTCAAATATTCAGTAAGTCACTATAAGGGAAATAAGGTTTTTGCAAGACTGCTGCCAAAGTGGCGCCCTCTGCGCTGTTGTTTTTTAATACTTACTTAATAAGCTGCCAACTCTTTTTCACCTTTTTAAGTACGAATTAAAAAATTGCTTAAAATTAATATAAGCTACACATTATTTAAAAAATAGAATACAGAAATATATTTAGAATTGATAAATCCCTAAGAAACATATTTCGTTCAGAGACCTAAACAAGGAGGACTCCAAGTAGTCTTTTATTTTAAGCAGGCGCTGAAAATACTATCAAAGGATTTCTGAAAAAGTATAAAAGGCCTCACTATTTGCGCCGAAACGTACATTTGACAAGTGAAAATTGCCGAAAGCACAAAAAGGTTTTAATAAAACGAAAAAGAAAATTTTTAAAGCCATTTTATAACTTCATAATGCCAAAGAAACGTGTGTTAACGCCGAAAAAGACAATAATGGCATCGAGCCGGTAGGGAGTGCTAAAAAGAAACCCAAGTTGGACTTGCCAACGGATCTGGACATTATAGACTGGGACCTCGATGATGCCTTCGAATTGGCAGTGGCCCGTGCAGAGGAAATGGAGAGTACTCGCCCCCTTCGCTTGGACCTCACCCAGTGGCAGCGGTGCGAGGTGACCTCGGTGGTGCACACGCCCAGAGACCAGAACTCTGAAATCGAAGTGAAGAAGAGCACTTCTGACGGAGATCCGCAGACAGCTGTCTGCAAACTGCTGCCTCCTTGGAATCAAACGCGTCTGGCGGCCGGCGACACAGTCTCCATATTGGCCAAGTGGGATCCATCTACCGAATCCTATGTGGTCGACAAGGAGCAGGGCTACTGCGTTGCCCATCCAGACTTGCTCATTTCCGGCACCACTGTCACCGGATCACTTTTCTGCATCCGCAAAGCGGTGCTGCAACAGCGTTTTGGATCTCTGGAATCAGGAAATTCCGTTGTAAGTACACATATTTACTCTTTATAAACTATTAGCCAATAGTGACTTTTCAATTCGCCATCTTTAGATGCTAGTCGGCACATTCGTGCACGAATTACTACAAACTGTGCTTCGCCAGAATTTGTCCTCCAGAGATGAAATCTATACTGAGTTGCAGAAGCTGCTGGCCAGCTCTTCGTTAGCTCAATCGCTTTATGCCGCTCGCATGAGCCACGAGGAAATGGCGTTCGAGTTGGACAAGTTCGTCAATCCGATTGCCAGTTTTGTGGCTCAATACGTGATGGGTGTTGGCCCGGCCAGCTTGCCACCAGACAACTATACCGGTCGCATTCGCCATGTTCTCGACATCGAGGAGAACCTTTGGGTTCCCCAGCTGGGACTCAAGGGCAAGGTGGATGTCGCTGTGAGCGTAAAATCCGCCCAAGGCAAAAGGGCAGATATACCACTCGAACTGAAGACTGGCAGAGCCATCTTCTCGATGGAGCACAAGGGTCAATTGTTGCTCTATCAAATAATGCTCACTGCCTTGGGCAAGGAAACCAACTCCGGATTGCTCCTCTACCTGAAGGAGAACCTCATGCAGGAAATCCAGAGCGGCAGAAACGAGCAGCGCGATCTGGTGATGCGCAGAAATGAATTGGCTCACTGGCTGACACGCGATATAGCCACTCCACCTGACCAAAATGAGGAACTGGTGGAGCTAGAGGACATGGCGCTGCCAGAGCCCATTTGCCACAGGAACGCCTGTTCCAAGTGCACCTACAGCACCATCTGTGCTAGTTTTGCCCAAAGGGATGACAGCTTGGAGCTGTCCCAGTCGCATCCCTTCAAGGTGCTCATGCCAACGGTTTTGGAGCACCTCAACGTAACGCATCTTAAGTATGTGCACCACTGGATTGGGCTGCTGAATCTCGAGGAGCAGCACAACCGTCAGTCCTCGCAATTAAAATCATTGTGGACTGTGGATCCGTTGAAGAGGCAAAAGCAAGGCAGAGCCATTTGCGATTTGAAGTTGGTCGAAGGCAAAAAGGTGGCATTCGAAGAGGGTCGCTATCTTCAGAGCTTAGAAATCGGTGGGGAAGTGGATGCCAATCGGAACATTACCCTCAGGGTAAGTTATCGACACTACAGCCTGATGAAACTATATTTCTAATCTTTAATCCCTTTTCTCAGTTCGATATTGGTGAATATGTGGTGATCAGCTGCACTTCACGTATAGCAATTGCTTCTGGCTTCATTGTATCCTTGGATGCCCGTCGCGTGGATCTCCGTCTTGAGCGTGATCTCAGCTTGCTATATGCTAAGGAATCGTTTGTAATGGACAAGCACGAGTCGCAGACGTTTTCAACGTTCAACTTTAGCAATCTCGCCCTATTGCTTACCGATGATGCACGCACCGGAGTTTTGCGAGATATTATTGTCAACAAGAGACCAAAAAACTCCAATGACACCATGGACTCCATGATGGAAGCGGAGCACATGATGCGCCACCTGAACATTGAACAAAAGCTGGCCATTAGACGGTGTGTGGTTATGCCCAACTACATGTTGATCAAGGGCTTGCCAGGCACTGGTAAAACCGAGACTTTGGTTGTCCTGGTAAAAGTACTTCATCACCTCGGGAAAAGTGTGCTTATCACCGCCCAAACTCACTCGGCTGTCGATAATTTACTTATGCGTCTGCTGCCGAGTGGTCTTCCCATGCTGAGACTGGGCTCGACATCCAGAATTCATAGCGAACTGAAGGAAATCGGCGAGGAGTGGCTGACCAAAGACTGTAAGACGGTGGACGAATTGGAGCGTGTGCTGAATAAGCCCATGATTGTGGGGGTTACTTGTTTGGGAGCAGGACATGCGCTCCTTCAGCGTCGTCGGTTCAACTATTGCATCGTGGACGAGGCCACGCAAGTGATGCAGCCCACTGTCATCCGTCCCCTGATGAGCTGCGACCGATTCGTCCTCGTCGGAGATCCCGAGCAGTTGCCACCGATTGTGCGGTCCAAGGAGGCTCGTCGACGCGGGGCGGATGAGACCTTGTTCAAGAGACTGGACATGGGTGGCTGCACCTATGTGTTAAGCCTTCAATATCGCATGAATGCAACAATCACTAAGCTGGCCAACAAGCTCACCTACGGTGGTAAACTAAAGTGTGGCTCTACCGAGGTTTCCGAAGCCAAGCTTCAGCTGGAAACGAAACCACAAGTGAAAGCAGCCAAGTGGGTGACGCTTGCCCTGCACTGTCATCTGGATCAGGCTGTCCGTCTAATTGACACGGGAGATTGCCTGGATCGCTGCCAGGAATTAATTGAGGCATCGACGCAGCTGGCGACGACCTGTTCCGCCATCGAGGAAAGCTTCTCGGAAGAAAAGGAACAGCAGACCGAGCAACGTGTCGGAGGAGGATCCCGAAATGTTTCCAAATACACAAACTACTGCGAAGCTGGCGTTGTGATGAAATTGCTAGCCTATTTACTTAGATGCGGATTCAAAGCTTCCGAGATTGGCGTAATAGCTCCCTATCGCGCCCAAGTTGAGCTACTCAAAAAGCTGACTTTTAAAATGGACCCCCAGCTGGAAATCAACACCGTGGATACGTTCCAGGGGCGTGATAAGAGCCTAATCATTTACAGCTGCACCAAGACAGGCCATGGTAATAACGATACGGATCGCTCACGCGAGGCGGAGATTCTGGAGGACAAACGCCGATTGACCGTGGCGATCACCCGTGCCAAACACAAGCTCATCATACTGGGGGATGTCCAATGCCTGGAGCAATATGGACCCTTCAAGGCAATGTTCGAGAACATTCCATCAATGCGACGCCTCAAGCTGGAGGATGAAAAGCTTGACTTCTCCTGGGAAAGGATCCGAAGGCACCTCGTCACTCTAATGAATGCCTAGGTATTAACTCCGCTTATTCCCTTAATTTATTGTATGATTATTAGGTGCATTAGATCCATTAGGCGCGTGACACACTGCCAAGATTTTAGAAAAACTTTGCCCGGATGAAGACACCAAAACCAGTACAAAAACTTCAAAACTCTAATGCATCAAGCATGTTTTACATTTTTTTAATAAAATCATATAACTCATTCTAATTTAATCACTTGTTAGGATCCTCGTGAAAGCGTGTTCTCAAGCGGCTGGAAGTGCTAATCGAAGCATACGAATTTAATTACATTTTATACATTTATATTACCTCTAGTAGTTCAATTAAGCGCCCGAGTGAAGATGCCAATCGTAAACAAACACTTACATTTATACCTCAAACATTGTTTATAAAAAGACTCAATAAAATCCTGTGATGCATTGTTATTTAAACCAACCAACAAGGTGTTTGTTTACTCGAAGGTTTCGCGTAATGTTGTTATCCACAAAACGGGAAAAACCCCATTTCCCTTTATCGGATTAAAAGTATTTCTGTGACTCCCACCCACTCCACTCCACTTCAATCCAATCAGTTAACGGTCTGTGTGTGTTCCTCCTTCTTGGTTGCACCTGCGAAACGGAAGTTGGGCACCCCGAGGTCTGAGCTGCTCCTCTGCGTGCCCTGAATATGTACATATATATTTATTCAAGTATATAAATGTATTGCCAGCCATATGGAGACCAGGGAAAGGGCCACTTGCAGCGGATGCAGTTAACAACCAGGAGCGAACGTGAGTCATTCTTGAGATGATTATCGTGTCATTATCGTCACAGAAGCGAGTGTGTAATGTTCAACTGGGCAAATGGCAGTCACCAAATGCGAGATTGATTGCTCTCAAAAGCAAGACAGGCAAAAGCCAGCAAAATAATCAACTGAATAAAATGAAATTCAATGCAATGAGAAGGCAGATCAAAAAACATGAAATAAAAAAGGACAAGACTTTGAATACCTTACGTTTCCAAATTTTGATGGCCAAGTTTCGGTTCACATTTTTTGAAGCCATCGGAAATTTGGAAAAATGGATATGAATAAGGAAAAAAAAATAACCATTAAAAATTGAAAAATTTATAATTTATTTAGGAAAACTTTCTGAACGTTTTTCAGACGCCATATACCTTCTAGAATACCCCATCAAAGGGCATTAAAGACCACATAAATAGGTAAGTGCGGGCTCCATCGCATATAAGATATGTACAAGTTGGGAGTGGAGTGACGGAGAAAGAGGAAGAAGAAAGGCCCAGAGCAGCAGTGACAATAACAGTAACATTTGGAGAAACAACAACAATAATGGGGACAAGCAAATCGCTTGATAAAATATTTGAAATTCATTTCGCGCCGCCGCTTGGCAGCCGTTGGCATTTCGATGACAGCATTTAATGCTTATTATGTAAACTCTTTTTCTGACGCGCGACTTCGGAATGGAGTGGGGGTCCAAATCAAAGGTCAGCCACAAACTTATTGGGCCCCGAATTGATTTTGAGTTCCGGCCAAACCCAAAATTTGTTTTTTTTTTTTATTTTTTGTCTCCTTTTTTTTGGGAGATGACCAGACACACACCGCTTTGTCCACTTGTGTGCGCAACAAATTAAGCCCATTAACCATCTTCGAGCTTCGATCGGCAACAACAACAACATCACCTGTTGCAATATATTGAACACTTCAGTCCCAAGATGATCGACAAAAGCTCGGGGCATTATCCACAAAGCGGCTTAAAACTATAGGAAGATGATATCGGGGGAATTACGGAGGGGTATTTAACTTTCGCACGGATTTCTACGAAAATTTCACAAATCTAATTTAGTAAATGACACAAACCTCCTATCAATATGTACATTTGTTATAAACCAAAATAATGTGTCGTCTTCAGCAATAAATTATCAAAAACTACAACGCATTCTTAAACTATTTATATTAATTGTTGAAACCTATTAAAAGTTAAATAGAGAAATATTTAAAATCCGCTTCTAATTATTTGAAATTACAAACAACACGCGTTAATTGTTTGAATTGCTATTAAATGTTATTTACTGTTTACAGAATCGAAGTTCCCACTGATTTATGTGCTATTATCATATTCCCTGTCAGAATGTCTTACACAATACCCCTTTGGCTCGATTATGGCCAACAATTACTGACCGATTTCACTGTCTTTAACGTTAAAACCGCAAAAGTGTGTCCGTAATTGATAATTTTCTGGTCAGAAAGCATAATTAAAGCAGCGCCATTAGTTTGTAGTGGAATTTGTTTTTTTTTTTTTTTTTTTTTTTTTTTGTGGGAACTTAGGGCCTCAGAACAGCCGCTTGTTTGAGTGTTTCTCTTCGCTGTTTAAGTTAACTCGGCCAAAAGAGCAATGTTAACTGGTTTAACAGACGGCTTTTGCGGCTGCGCAGAGCAACTGGTTGTTTGGTGTTGCTGCTGGCTGGCTGTTGCTGTTGCTGTTGCTGTTGCTGTTGCTGTTGCTGTTGCTGCTGGCCTCTGTTATGTCGCATGTTGCTGGTTTTCTGCCTGCTGCCTGCTGGTTACTGCTTACTGGTTGCTGGTTGCTGCCGCTGTTGGCCACGCTTTTTGGCCACCAAACGGATTCAGTGCAGCGGCGACTCTCGAACGGTATTGTTGGCTTTAGCGGTAACTCGCCATTGGCCGTGCATACAAAATACTAAACTGTGCTTTTTTCATAGTTCGTGGCTGGAACTTTTCTTGATATTTTCTTTTTTATTTGCCTCGACTTCGTTGTATTTTTTTTTTCTTGTTGGTTTTGCGTGCCCCGAGTGAATGTGGAAAATTTGCAGATAGCTTTTCTGCGATTCGATATGTGTGTGGATTTAGTTATTCAGTTATTGGGCCAAAAAGAGCGCCGCCGCGCCTGGCCGAAAGTGAAAAACTGAATGCGCAGACGTGTGTAACAGTTTTTACTTTCGGCCTGGTTTTCGGCATCTTCAAGTGGTTGCTGTTGTTGTTGTTGTTGTTGTTTTTGTTGTTGCTGCTGGAAGGCAGTGGAGCATTTAGCCAAGATCTGTGCAGATTGCATAAAATACAGACACAGCAGAGCACCAGCATCAGCAGCAAAAACAACAACAACAACAACAACTGCAACCGCATTTAGCCCAGTTTTCTGAGCAAATTTTTTCAAAAAGCTAACGACAAAAATCTCACACTAAATCTTAGCGTTATTTTTTCCTCCTCGTCGTTGTCGTCGCGTTTAACTAAAATAATAACAACAACGAGAGCAGCAGCAATTGCAATAGCAACAACAACAAAAACACACAACAGCAGTAGCAGCAACACCATTGCTAGCAGCAACATCTAGCCCAAAGGAGCCTTGTATTGCCACCTCGACCAGCAAAAAGCCGCCAAAATGCTTCCGGTAAGTGGTTGCAGCAATTGAAAAAAAAAAAAAAATAAAAAAAAAAAAAAAGAAAAAAGATATAGACTGCAAACAACTCTCGACATTAACTGCAAAACTGAGAAATCATTTTTATTTCGCTGTTTTTGCCGCTTTTGTTGCCTGCATTTTGTACTCAATTAGCGCAAATCTGGCCAAAAGCCGTACATTTTTAGTCCAGTTCGGCTTAGTGACTGGATTTCCTGGCCGCCAAAAAGGGGCTGGGGCTTTTCGAATAACGACAACCTTGGCAGGATCGGTGGGCCCAAGTCTACAACGTTGAAAGTTGTTATCCTTGCCGAGGGCAGAAAATTCAGGAAAGATCGCGGATCGCCAAACTGGTTCCTCTTCGTTCTCGCCGAACTGAATTATTCATCGAGGCCGCGAGTTTTCGATTTCGTTTGCCCGGTTTGACTTGATATTAAAATGTCTCTGTTAGATGATTGCATAATTAATGAGTGACACATCGCGCTTGGTGCGAAGAATTCTTCTGGGCTTAAAGATGATTTTCTGATTTGATTGTTAGTTGCTCAGGAAAGTAAAAGTTTATTGGGTTTTTACTGAAGCTCTGCTGCTAATTTTTTATTGCCCACCAGGCAACTTTGTACAAATCTCTTAAATCAAATCTCTAACATAAAAATCAAGATAAAATCAATGTTTTTTTATCACGTCTTCCCATATTTTACATATGAATGCCGAAATCAAATTTTTAACTGCCTTTTTGGGATTTGCCTAATTATAAAAATTCCTGAGAAATTCATAACTTTTGACTGTAAAACCAACAGAAAGCATGATAAACAGAATTTTGCATTAAATCTGGCATTCATATCACCATTTACTTAAAGTACAATTTAATAAATCGGCTTCCTCAGTAAATTCGTGCCTTCTTACTTATCATTCAAGTGAGGATTTCGCAAAAAGTGAGAGGAATTAGGGATGCAACCCTACACAAATTGGTCTAAAATCATTTTTACGATCTTGAGTCTTATGTAATGCCCAAACTTTTACCCGATTAACACCTCTGAAGACGTCGAAGACATCGGCGATTTCATGCAATTCCCATGCTAATCGAAGCGATCGAGTGCAAAACTTTCAAACACGAACCCAAATCGCTGAGAGATACATTGCACGCATATTAAAAATGATGGTCGATGGGCTTATGAAGATCCATCCCAGTCTCCAACGATAGCTTTTACTTCCCCAGGGGCCGAATCGAATCCGAAATATAATAGAAATGAGGCTGTATATCCGCTTGGACCTTCGATGAGGCATATTTCTGGCCCGAACCTATGATATTTCTCTCGCTCATGCAAATTTTGTGCTGCGCATGCGCAGAAAACTTGTTTAGGATTTTTGTTCGTGTTATTTTAATGGCCCGCTTTTTGTTATTTTTGTCAATTTTTGGCTTGAACTTATTTTTGGCCACGTTTTTTTTTTTTTTTTGTGGGGCTGCGGGGGCGAAACAAGTTTTGGCGACAAGTGCTGGAAGACTAGCCAAAAAGACTCATCATCTGCGCCATTCCGCTTGACGTCAGGCCGCAAAAATGCGTGAGAAGAGGAAATTGGCTCCGGCTTTTGTCTACCAAAAAGAGGCGGAAATCGAAGGCCTAGCCCTCAGAAAATAAGCCAGCAAAAGTTGCAAATTCATGCAACACAAGAGCAACAGCAAAACTGCAACTGCAACTTAGCAATATCGCGAGTTGCGACGCCAACGCAGTCGCACCCAAAAGACAATGACAGTGAACTGAAACCAAGACGAGTCGATCCAATCCGATCCCAAGCCTCCACTCAGTTGATCTTCCATCTGGTATATGCATTCATTAAATCAGCCGCCCCTTCGAGCATCTCTGCAAAAGTAGCTTCATCACTCATTTCATAATCAACTTTGTAACCAAATAAACAATAATTAGCTTAACAAAAGGTGATCCAAAATCAAATACAACTTAAAATATTAAAAGAGTTATTTGTTTGTTAGTATTTTTGTCATCAAATAAACTCTTTTTTTTTTTTTTTTTTGTAAAGCAATGAAATATGAAATTAACTTTGCGTACAAGATTCCAAAATTGCAAAGTCAGCTTATAAGGTAGCTATGAATTTTCATAAATGCTTAGACCAATTATGAGATGTATTTCCTTGGCCTAAGTATAAAAAATTCCCTTCGAAAAACTACATCCCGAAGATGCTGATCTCGAATAAATGCGAATAATCTGACCCCGGAGGTGGCACATCCGCCTTGAAGTTATAGAAAGGTTTCCAGATTGGCAAATCGAAATTCGCAGGCGGCTGAAAGTGAAACCCGATGAGCGGAGAGGTAAAAAGTGAATGTATTTATATATCGGCGACCTGCGGGGGGTGATGCGTTTTGGCATTTTATTCAAAAAGCATTATAGAAGAGTGTCATTAAGTTACCGGTTTTTGGGCTATTAAACCGCATTGGCCTGAAATTCCAGCAATCCCAGTGCAATCGCTTTGGTAATTGTATCTGTCAGATGCACAGATACAGATACACGTGCATCGGGATCTGCTGCCTTCAACCTCATTGCAAAATTTGCCATTTTTTTTGTTTTGTTTTTTTTTTTTTTTTTTGTTTCTGCCGCTGCTGCCTTTGCATCGTTACGTATACGACACCGGCACCATAGGGTTAAGGGGGTTTTTGGTGAGAGCTAGGAGGGGGCTAGGCAGAGACATGCTCCAGAGACCGCCGGGATGATTCAATTCCATGACAACGACAGCGACAACAACCAACCAGCTAACCAGCCATGTCTGCGAATTGTGGAACGTTACGTTACGGGGGGTTAAAGGGGGGTCGTCTCTACTCCGGCTTTGATTTGGGGACATGCAAATCATTAACACGCCGACAGCCCAAGGGGGTGGGTCGGTTGCTCTCTTTGATATCTGAGTCCAAGCGAAGCCACCGAATTCGGTTGCAAATTTCGGCATTTTGCAACCGCTCTTTAAGCTCCGCTTTTAATTTCCATGTTTAAGATAAATATGAACAAATTATCATCTCATTTAAAAACATTAACTTAATATATTAAATTTCGTATTATATGTGGGAACTTCTTTCACTGCTTTACAAATATGTAAATACTATGCTTCTTTACAAACTTTAGTCCACCTCTTGGCCAATTAAAATATATATATATCTTCTCGTATTGAATGGCCACACTTTCCATCCGAAAATCAGATTCCCACCCTTGGCGCACAGCCTCTGGGGACTTTTTGGCACCACTTGAGACGTAACTGTTAATTCGACGGACAGATATAAGCGCATATATAGCGAAAATACAAAACGTATACGTATATATAAGTCGGTGTTTTTACAGCCTGACTCATGGATCGGTTATGCAGCCTGAAGGTCAACGTGTTTTGCGGTTGAGAAAAAGCAAGAGTTATAAATTAATTTATTAAGCCAGAGCGCCGAGCAAGCCAAGTTCCACTCTCCGTGTTTAAACCCGTTTGCTCTGGCAACAATAACAAAACACTTGCTCGAATTCCTGAGTCTTGACCAACGGTCTAACTGACCCCCAATTGATATTTAAAAGAATGTGACTGCATTTGCCACACAAAATACAAAAAACACAAGAAGGCAAAACGAAACGGCTCAAAAAATAAATCAAACTGAAGAATGGAGGGTGAACAATGGCCACTTAAATTGCCACAAGGATGGCGTCTAAACAATTGAAAATTTCGTGACAGAATTGATCAGTAAATTAACTAAGAAAGAAATAAAAATATGTCAGCGAATTACAAGTTGCTAAAAAATATATTTATATCAGAAATACTTCAAGTAAAAAGTAATGCTTATTTTAATTTTCCCCTTTAATAAATAATTTAAAAAACCTTTCTAACTTATTTCACTACTCGAAAGTATTTCCCAATTCTGTTTTTGCCAGACTCACTTCCTCTCATTTCTGTTTGCTTGTCCAAACAATAACCGCAGTATCAAAATAATACAAATTTGTTGTAATCAAAAAAAGTTAAAAGTCATGCTTCGATCTAATTAAGTTGAATCCGGCTAATCGGATGTAACAACGGCATTATCTTTATGGGCAACCAAATCTCCGTCCGAACCCCGCAACTCCCCTTTCACCATTGGGTTCCACTTCACGAGCCGCCGAAAATCATCCAAAATTAGCCAGTGCCCAGTTTTTGACCTCAGCCTCTTTCTTGTCTTGGGATTTTCATCTGCAACTCAACTTGAACCTGAATGTGCATCACGATTATGTTTTTTTTTCTCTCTCGAGTTTTCATGTTTTTTTCAGGGGGTTTTCGTTTTTTTGGTTGGTTTGTTGCCGGATGCGCCAGTCAGCTTGTTTCTTTTTTTTTTTTTTTTGACTTAATAATTTTCACTGAACGAAATTGAAAGTAAGCGAACAGACCACAACAGACCGAACACCACTGTTAAAACTTAATACGAAAAGGTATAAATAAATTGTATACTAAAGCTGTGTTTAAAAGGGCATAAAAGTTACGCAAGATCGCTCTTATTCGATTGAGCTTCTTCCGTTTGGTTTTGTATTTTTTATTCGCTTTTCATTGTGTCGAGATGACATAATTGGTTCAAATGGGCAAAAGAAATGCTCGCAGCTCTTTTACAACTGTTTAATTTGGCCACCGGCAGTAAAAAAAAAAAGCGAGTGGTGGTGCAGAAAAAAATAATAAAAGAGATGAGTTGGTGTATAACACCTACCGTTAGCCCCTGCTAATTTCGCTTGCCTCGCCAATTATCGCTTAGGCCAGCCCGTTGATAATTGCAAAGTAAATGCGGTGCGACTTTTTGTGGATATGCCCGCCCTACGGAAAAGGGGGAGATTCGCGGGGAGCGGGTATTATGTAGGGGGTCTGGCGACTATCCAACTTTCGATTTCACTTTGGAGTGGCGGTTCGGCTTTTAACTTACGCACCTCATTCACGCACTAAAAAATGTCGCTGGCTTGCCAATTTGTAACACGGCTCTGAGGCTATTGACTCAAAAATTG